TTTTTTCTTGGACAAAGTCATTATTTGTTCTCTAAAACACTGGTCGACAATAACAAAATCAATGCAAATTCAAAATAAATATTTGTTTACGTTATTAACGCATGCGCAATGAGAGATAATGTCTGCGTTAGACCGACTGCTCACGCTGAGCTAACAAAAAAGTATTTTTTTGGCGTCAGATCTACGTCAACTTTCCGCTGACGCCCAGATAAGGCGCTAGTTCTAAGAAACCAGGTCTTGAGCTAACAAACCAGTATTTCGTTGGCGTCAGCGTGACGTTGACGTCCCGCTGACGCCCAGATAAGGCGTTTGTCCTAAGAAACCAGACCTTAAGAGAGCATGTCTTGGTAAATGTCCCCATTAATTGATTTTTCAGCAAAGAAAAATGGACCAAAAACACAACTGTTTGATAAAGCGCAGAAAACGTTCACCTTGGGAGAATCACGCTGATGTTCTAATATTACATGGGCATTTTCCGGGCTCCAAAATCGCAAATTATGGCGATTAACTTTGCCACATAAGTGGAACGTGTCTTCATCGATAAACACCAATGTGTTCTCGAAACCATTCAAGTCGAGTTTTTCTTGAAGTTTCACACAGAAATTCTTACGCAACGGTTCGTCAGTAGGTTTTAAAGCCTGGATCATCTGATATCTGTACAGCTTGAATTGGAAACGCTTCCGCCACACAATTGTGTGAGGGACAGCCAGTTCTGCACGTCGCGTTGATTTTGAGGGACTCCGTAAAAACGAATCACGAATTCTTTCAACCACTTCGGGTTTTGTCTCTTTCCGTCCTGGGCTTTTGTTCTTGCATAAGCAGCCAGTATCCTGAAACTGCTTCACCCACCTGCTTATGGTATGCCGATGCGGTGGTTCTTTACGAAATTTTGTGCGAAAATGTCTTTGCACCACAGTTACCGAGGAGGTTTTGGCATATTCGACAACGCAGTACACTTTCTTCTGCATGGACGGCATTTTGTTTAGCAGCTCTTCTAGCAGCGAGTTCGTCATTCGATGATTTTTCCCTGTTGCCGAATAAAACTTGTATAAATTTAGTTGCAGAATAAATTTGTTTCGGCTGAATAAATCCATTACGGCAGTCACACTGCGCTATTCTTTTTCTCCCATTCAATATGAAACACCCTGCATATATATCTGTACATATTTACTAAAGGCATATTAATCCAATTTTTTTTTCGTCTACATTTCCCATACAGTATTTATTTCACAATTATTTTGCATTTATCAAATATAAAATAAATATTTTAATAAATAATCTAGTTAGTGATTTTTCAAACTTGGCAAAAAAAATTTCTATAAAACTAATTCGGCCAAATTAACTGGTATTAAATTAGTTACTAAAACATAAATTCAAAAATATTATACTTTTAAAAAATGGTTATTAAACTAATTTTGAATCCTGAAAAATTGCACGTAATCAAATTGTTTAAAGAGTGTCTCTACGAGAGAAGATGGAACTTTATGGGATTTCGATCCCAAAAAACCATTGTCAGTTTATCAATTTCGAAGTAGTTTAAGAATATTGATTTTATTATAAAACATGCAAAAAACACTCAAGATAGATAGATAGAGTAAGAGAGAGATGAATAGATTTTTTACTCTTTTATATTACTAAAAGGTAGTTTAATTTGAATGAAACTCATTCGATGATGCAGACGCTTGATACAAAGAAACAATGCACTTCTTCTGCCCCTTGAAGAGAGATACTTTAGCAACTGGTAGAGCTCATAAGAGCAGCATTTTGTATCATGCTCAAGTAATTCGGTAAAATTGGCCATCTTATTCTGTCGAAATATTGCTATATATGCTGCTACACGAAATTAGCGTTTTACTGAACAGTGAACTTCTCAGAGAAATATTATGGCTATGGACTTCATTTGTACTTCAATCCCAAAAGAAAGTTTTTTAATAAATTCAAAAGAATGGTCTACGAAGACAATAATGAAATAAAATAAAATCTGCAAACGCTACGTTTTTCAAGTAGGCTTAAAAGGAGAAAATAATTTTATTTTTATCAGACCTAAAGCAAAAACAAAAAGCTCGTGATTTCTTATAGAAAAAAAACATGATGTGCGAAATTTTTTTTTAATCCTTAAACAATCATTTTTTATTTTAATGTTCATTTTTCGCCAAAATTCAAGTTATGAGATGGGCCTAATGATATTACATCGGGTTAATTCTTTAAACCGTCGTTAATCAACTATTATATCTCTATATTATGTTTACGGTGCTTCTTGTTTATGGATTGATACCCAATCAAAGAAGGAGATTAAGGCTCTGTGACCCAGGAATGTAATTTCACAGAGGCTGACCAGCTGCCAAATCATTTAATTTTTGAAAACTGAGGGGGTGGGGTAGTTGATCATACACTCTATAACAAAAAAATCGACGCACCAAGAAGAAATCATCCGATTGCTTTGGAATTTCGTATGCATGAATGTTATGAACAGATATGGCTGGAATGATGCCGACTGGGGACGTATAGTTTTTAGCGACGAATCCCGCTTCCAACTGTGTCCTGACGATCATCGAAGACGTGTTTGGAGACGCACAGGGCAGAGGGGGGATCATGCCTTCACTATTGCACGCCACACCAGCCCTCAGCAAGGCATTATGGTCTGGGGTGCCATTTCCTTTGACAGCCGGATCCTTTTGGTCGTCATTAGAGGTACACTTTCTGCACGGCGGTACGTCGACGACATCCTAAGACCTGTTTTGCTACCGTTCCTTNTAATGACTTTTTTATGAGCAGGACAATGCCAGACCACATACGGCACGTGTTGCTATGAACTGTCTGCAAGCTTCTCAAACTCTTCCTTGGCCTACCAGATCACCAGATCTTTCTCCCATCGAGCATGTCTGGGATATGATGGGAAGGCGATTGCATCTGGCACGGAATGTTGATGACCTCGTTCGACAATTGGATCAGATTTGGCAGGAAATGCCGCAAGAGACCATCCGGGAGCCTTATCGGTCTATGCCACGCCGTGTGGCAGCTTGTATCCAGGCTAGAGGCGGGTCAACACCTTATTGAACTTGTTACTGTAACTCTGCAATAAATTATTTAATTGTTTTGAAATTTCCATCATTTACTATTCTGTACATTGTCTTCCTATCCACCAATTTTCGTTTCATCGGACGACTCCTTCTTGGTGCGTCGATTTTTTTGTTATAGAGTGTAGAAACTTATTGCGAAAATCGGGCTCTCTACCTTTTTGTTACAGATCAGACAAAAGTTTAGACTCTGTTTAAGTTTACTTTAGAAACATAGCTTTTAAATTATATTATTTCCTCTTTTCAGCTTTGTTTCTGTTAGTTTATTTATGGCAGAAAGTAATCGCTAAATTTTGCTTATATCATTTAAGGCACAATTGTAATTTTGTATTAGCATTAGGCACAGCTGAAATGTGAGCGCTCTTGCTACGTGTTCAAAACTTCATTGACTATAAAACGCGTTGTAAATTCTGATTGTGACAATCATAAAATGGTTGAAACTTGTATTTCACAGCACAGAGTTCCAGTTAAAATTCAGACACACTAACTAGTTGGATATTAGTTTGAAATTCCTTTACATCCAATTCCTACTGGTGATAATATGGTGATATATTCTACTTGTGTAGGTTAGGAAGATTTTGAAACTTATTGTAATTTTTCCCTGGCACAAAGCTCTAGTCTGTTTGGAATTTTGGTTAAAATTATATTTGGGGACAAAATGAGACTCTTTAGCCGTCAAGAAACGATTGAAATTTGCATTGTCATTTTTGTCAGCTCACCTGCCCCCGCTCAAAACTAAAAAAACTGGTAATTAAATATTAATTCATTTGAAAAAATCTTAATTTAATCTTATTTAACCATATAATATTAATTTGCTTTGCCAAGTCCTTAAGTTCGCACATGGCAGTACTAAGTGACAATATTTTAGCGTTTTTGATATGAAAAATGAAATATATATTTCAAAAGTCTATTCAAAAATAGGTTCCATTAGAAAAAGTTGGTAACAAATCACTATTTCAGTTTTTTTCGTCAGCCATAAATTAAGAGTAGGTACCATTTATCGCAAACGAATTTCTAATCAAAGATAAATCATACACTTTCTTAATTTAATTAATAAATGTTAAGTAAAAATGAACAATTGTTACCTGGAAAATTTTCTTTCTCATCTCCCAAATCTTTAGAAAAAGAGGAATCACTATCTATATGATGGAATTTCCCGCTGGTTTCTGCTGATACATTTTGCTGTAGTTGAACTTTGAAAGAGTTTTTCAACTTCGGCGACGATAATTCCTCGCTCTTACTGTTTTCACCCAAGACCTTCCGATGGTGTGTAATTTCTTCTTTTTTTGTTGGTAAACGCAAACTTTTACTCTAGAAAAATAATTTACGCTTTCACAAAAAGTAATTTCGTATTTCATTACCACAATGAAACCTCCCGGAAAGACCACCTCTGTGTAGCGACCACCTCTATTTGCGACCACATTTAGACGGCAAGGAATTATTTCATAGATTTAAAGTTGAAGAAAACCTTTAGGAGAGACCATCAAAAATTCTCCCAGCGACCGGGCAAACCTCTGCACCAAATGCGGAAAAAGTCAAATAAGGAAACACGAAGAAATATCAAAACAAACAATATTGAGGTAGGTACCTTATGCGGAAAAAGTCAAATAAAGAAACACGAAGAAATATCAAAACAAATAATATTGAGGTAGGTACCTTATTACATCGCATATTTTTGGTAGGTAGGTACCTTATTTACATTGCACTGGAACTGCACAATAGGATATTGGGACTGTCTGGGAAACATCTCTGAAGATGATCTGAAGGTCATCGTAATTTTGATCCTCTCCAGAGGGGATGGCTACCCTGCTTTGGTAGCCCGACGACCTGCGTGAGAAGTCGAGCCCTTTACGGTAGAACAGTTTAAGGAGGACCAATATCGCGCACCCTCGGTCCCTCCGCAGGCTGATCAAAGTGGTCACCCCCGCTTACTGACCGCCGCCAGCGATGCTTAACTTCGGTGTTCTGCAGGGAGCAGTTATGATCAGTCCAATGCAGGACAAACAATATTAACAAAATGAATAAGTTGATTTAAATGTATTCAAAATATTTGTGAGTGGTTCTTATCTACAGAATTATCTCTACCTAGAGAATTATCTATCGACAACCTCATGTTGCTGTCAGAGCACATTAAAGACGATACCAACAATGATTTATTTTTAGAATTGAAAGTTGAAATAGAAAAAAAATTATTTTAGAGAAAAAACTAAGCATCTCAAATTAACAAACCTTTTCTCATTTTTTGAAGCTAAATAATTTTTACGATATAAAATTAAATAACAGTTTTAAACAAAAAACATAATTTTTTATTTATTTAAAATAGTTCTATCATTCATAATTGGTATTTTATTTGCTCACAGTTATATCAGTAGGTCATTTTTTACATCATTCAGTAAGTAATGATCATTGTTATACACGCTAAATTTTATTCATGGATCCGATATTCATGAGGACAACACAAGCGGCATTTTTACAGAGAAAATGACACTGAGTAAAGTTAAAATTGCTTGCGATAAATCATGTACCTTTGATAACATTTTGAAGTCAATGAAGGTAACCCCTAAGAACGACCAACCTTCAACGACCATTTTCCTGTGGAACAGAGAGTGGCCGCTCCCGAGAGGTTTCACTGTATTATTTAATTTAACACATTTTTGACAACAAAAAAAAAAATGCAATTTTTGCCAATTTTTTTATATGTAAAAATGTAAAATTTTGATGTTGAAAAATTCATTGACTTTTCGTGGTAAGTAATTATAAAAGCAAACATATTGCTTTTTAACTTAATCAATATTTTGATGCTATGAAAAGGGTTGTTTTCTCTGCATGTTTAGAACGCCACATAAAGGGGGGGTGTCTGATTTGCTTTGCATGAACGATGCTCTAGATAAGATGCATCCATCCTTGGCCTCCTTAACATGGGTTACTGCTGCGTACTTTTTTTCTATTCATATTACACTCAGACTAGAAAAGAAAGAAAAGAAATATATCTTATTCTATGAATTCTGAAATGATCTCTTCTAGAAAATTGACTGAAGGCTAAACCGAGATGCAATTTAATAATCAATAACTCCGTTATGCTTTGTTATTTTTTAAATAAAGATTTATATCAACACTAAAAATAAAATATGGTTGAAAAGATCTTTCATTTCATCCATATTTGTTAGTCCAAAATTTTAAAGTAACTAAAAAATCCATATTTATCATTCAATATCTTGGTTTTCATAAAACGAACCAGAATTATTCATTAAGAGTTGTAAACAGCTTCAATCACTGTTTACAGAGAGGGTGTCACTTACCTAGGGGAAATAACACTTTTGTGTTTATGCATTTTAAGGTATTGGGAAAGCATGATACGTAACAATTAAATTACTTATCTAGTTCAATCTTGATACTACTAACAAATTCAAAGCATGCTTACCATACGCAATTCATATAATTTAAAATGCTATGTCTTATTATAATGTTTTAAGATACTACGTGCTTTATCAAAACCTGTGTTATTTTATTAATTTATTTGATTCTCGCCGATATATAATCCTTAAATACGAGTTTATTGAAAATTATTTAAGAAGCAAAATAATAGCTTAACCCAGTCGTAAATAAAATTAACATAGTTAACGTACAAGATATTTTGCAATCACTACCCTTATTTAATTTCCATATCCTTGATAAATATGGAATAAAAAAAAACAAGCATATTAAGTGTCACAATTATTATTTAGACGAAGAAAAGCTGAACTCCCATTAAAACTCCAAGGAATCACGACTGAGGAAACTGAGATTGAAAGCATTGAAACCTGCTCTATTTCTAAAAAATAAGAAAGAATTTGGAAAACTTAATAGAAAACGCCTCCAAGGTTCATAAGGAAATTAAACTTCTCACTATTGATGCAAAAGCTTACGCAGGCGTTTTTCCTCGTTTAAATATTAATTTGCAACCACCTAATGTGTCTACTATTTTTACTTTTTTCTAACAAGGATTTTAAAAATTTGTTCTAAAAGCAATGATTACGGAACATCATACATATTTAGTTACATGGTGTTCTTTTCATGGTGTTCTATTTAGTAATATAATTAGTATTATATTTATTAATAAACTGCAATAACTATCAAATAGCATTATAAGTAAAAACATTTTAAAATATCTGACATTTAGAAGGAAGAAAAACATTTTCCCCGATTGGCACTAAACTAAAAATGGTGTAGAACAATGTTAAATTTATAAAAAAAATATACTACAATGTTTCTTATACTGTCAAATTTTTAAAACATTCAAAGAAAATAGAAAAAGGCTTATCGTATAAGGCTTGATAACGGTTACGTAATATATAAATATTTAGTTTAAATTTTTTTTATTTACCTCATTCTGTGTTTCATTGTAGATGGTACTAAGTAAAAACATGCGTTATTCAATTTAATAAGTCAATATGTATCAATATAAAAACCATATAAGGGATTGATCAAGTTAAAGAATTTTAAATTTATATGTATATAGAGAAAATTTAACGTGCTGATTGTGGCGACAATTTCTGGTTGACAGTTTTAAGCAGAAACCGCGGTAGAATCGCCAAGAATTGTAGACAATCGCCAACTTTTTTCTCCATTTTTTATTTAGCTTTTTAAAGACATAAAAATTAAATAAAATAAAAATAAGTAAAAACATCCCGTCTAACCGAAAAGTAATCAAAAACCGTCAAAATGTACAAGTATTCTACTAATTTAGAATGCATTTAAACATTATAATCAATTTATTTTAAATATGTTAAAAATCGTTTTTAATCGGGTTACCGTGAATTTAGTTAAAGAGTCATTTAATATTCGCAAATCAAATGCAATTTACTTAAAATGCGTTAACGAAATAACGGTTTTAAAGTATGCAAAAATCCATAGTCTTACTTTAGCAATTTCCATTGAAGAATTCATATTTACTTCTACTCCTTATTAACTTTCAGATGATTTTCGGATTTATAAACTCTGTTTAGAACTCTAAAAAATACCAAAATGATTTTTCATTTAACCTAACAACTGATGCATGACAATTAATTCTCGTGAAATTATTTTTTAAATAGGAAAACAATAGAACTTCGAGTTACCATGGAAACCGTGTTAACTGTTGTCGTAAAATTTTGCTTATTAAAAGTAACTTAACTGTAGAAACACGTTTTGCCTTGTTGTCAAAATGGATTTTGCGTTAGGACACTGATAAATTAAGAAAATTGAAATGCATATTGTTTAGATTTTTAGAAATAAACACTCTCCATGGAAATGTTTAAATCTGCTATTTTTGTAAGGCACTAAATTAACAAGTAGAAATAAGACTCTTAACAAATTCTTTGAATAAATAAAACTAATTTTTCGTATGTGTACGTACTTATTTTTTCAATTTGTGTTATTTCTACACTGTAAAAAATTCCGGATCAAATTAAGGTAAAAACTACTAGCATTCAGAGTGTCAGTACTTTTTTCTGGAATATGATACGGAACAAAAAATCTGATGCACCGTAATTTTTACAAAAAATTATCATAAAACCTCTGAATCACTCTAATTAAATAAATATTTCGGCTAAAGTTCCGGTATATTATTTTACAATAAAAATAAATTTTACGACAAAATGAATTTTACGAATGATGCACCCAAGTACTGGTACTTTAAATTGCAATTTGATCCAGATTTTTTTTACAGTGCAAACTTTTTAATTTTGCATAAATTACCTACATTTTTTTACAATTTTAATCTACAGCGACTCGAACTTTAAATAACAACAGAAAATATGGTTTTCAATTGGAAATATGCAATTCAAAATAATATAAACTAGTTAAGGTGATAAAAAATTTAAAAAATTTATTAATTAACCTAACTTAATTATAATTTTTTTAAATATTTGTAATTGCTGCACAAAAAATAAATTTTCATTTTTAGTGTTTCTCCCGCATTGTTGGATACTTTTACATTGATTTTCTCATTTCATTTTAAAAATTGATAAAATTTTCAAAATAAAATTATCAACACTTGCTGTAATTTTTGATAAAATTACAGCAAATCTTACCGATTGTATTGGACGCTGTGTCTTAAAAGTTTAAACTTTCGCTGTACTTAGGAGAAGAAATTTTTATTACCAGGATATTCAGCCTCAAATCAAAAATATATAGATTTAAATGATTAATCAAAAATATATAGCTATAATATGATTAATCAAAAGTATATAGATTTAAAAGAATTAAACTCAGGCACGTGTATTGTTCTTTTTATTGATTTATTCATTTGTTTCATTATTCAGGGATTATTTAAGTTCCATAGAATGTTTAATACAGCCAAAAGTAACTTATAAAATTAACTTTTTAATACATTTAGCTTCCAATATTAGTTAGCATTGTTTAAAATGTATATTTTAAGTGTTTGTTGATAAGGAACTAACTCAATCAAAAATTTATATCACACAATGTGTTATGTGTTACAAATCTTACAGATTTTTGACTTCTTTAAGTTACTGCAAACGTCAGTTAATATATTTGAAAATGAACTAATCAATAAATGGGTAAATTAAGAAATCAATGAATGGATAATATGCACCGATAAATGAAATACTCAACTTATAAAGTAAATAAAATTATAAACCGATAGTTTGTAAAATGGTATTTGATAAATATTCTTAATTGGCAACTCATTGACAACTTTCACATAAAGGCTTCTTTGTACCGAGCTGCTAGAAGGAAAAAGCGGAAGATGTCGACTACTCGACGTAGGAAAAAATTGCTTAATGTACTATTTCAGAATTAAACTTTTATATAAATTGCGATAAAATGATATACGAAGACTATGACTTGATGAGATGCATTAAAAATACCTAAATATGCAACCCCCTCATTTTGCGTTAAAACATTAAAGGATTAATAATGAAGGAAATCGGTAATGTGAAAAGTATCTGAGATTTTTCGATTTGTAAAAGTAATTGTTATACAAGGGCCAGTTTGAAGTTCGAGAAAAGAAACTTTTTACATTTCATACTTATTAATACTCTTATTTCACACTCGTATATGAGTTTTAAAAAATTTCTAATACCAATATTTCGTATGCTGTATACATCATGTATAAAACTTTTAAATATTCTCTTCAAAAAAGCTGGTACAGTGAAAAAATAAGAACAGCAATGATGTATTATAGCATATATTAAAACATTTCAATGTCCATTTATTTTCGAAGTCTAGTAAAATGTTTTTCAATACACATCCACTCTGCTATATAGTTATTCTCTGCAGGTATAAAATTATACCAAAAGTTATTATGTTTATCATACATACATATTCCCTTTATCTTCACTCATGTCCGAAAGTTAAAGAGCTAGCACCTTTCTTAAAAAGAACTCAAGAAATAGTATCCTAAGTCAAATAAAATTTTATATTATGATACAGCCAAGTATATGGCAAAAACTCAAGTATATGGCTATTGCAGAAAGGCGATAGCATGAATTCGAAATTATGAGTTATTAGATATCCCAGTAATATAGCCAAAAACGATAGAACAAACTAGCACTTGTGATGGATAAAACATAACTATCTCTGGCGACAATGCAGGTCTCATAACGAACTGTCATGCTAGTTTGTGAGATTGGTTAATGAATTACGACACAAAATCTAAGGCCTTGGGAGATTAAATTCTGCTCCTTTCTTTAAAGGAGCTCTAAGCTCGGGTAGGTTTCTTGGACAGGAATTGCGAATTGTAATTCCATTGCCAATATCATTCCAGACATGCTCTATGTGATTCAGGTCTGAGATTTGTCTTGTCACATCATCCTCTGCATATCATAGGCTTCAAGGTATTCCTTGATTAGACCAGCTTCGAGTCGACATGTTATCTATAAAAATAAATTAGAAATCGGCAATTTTTTTTGACACTTTTACATAAGGCTCCAAGTTATCAGCTTTATATCTCAAAAAAATCTGGGTGACTCCTCAGATGAGCATGTCTACTCGGTCATTCAAAATAAATCACTCTGAATCAGATCATAACACCTCGATCTTCATAATAACCTTTTTCCATGATTTTGAAAGATATGGTATCGGATCCCTGGTTCTCTTCGTATACGCACTTGTCAAGAATCATTGTTTAGGAGAAACTGAGACTCATCAGTGAAGGAAATATGAGTAAGTCACCTCCAGTGTTCCCACTTGAAACTGCTTACAATAGTTCGAGCCAAATGTGCAGTAGCCTGCACTATTAGAAAGGTAATTTGACTTCTCGGAGGTATAAAGATGAAATCTTAAGGCTTTGCGCAAGGTTTGAGGCGTGTGTCCAATCTGGTTTCCATACCCGAATCACAAATGATCTTGGCACAATTGCATTTTACAACCCAGAAGCCTCCCAGATTTAAGGAAGGTGCATGATTTATTATTCCAAAACAGACCATTTATTATTCCAAATTTGTCAACCTCGTAAATAGAATTATAGTTTGTTGCGAGACGTGAATTACCACCATAGTTAGTCTTAACCCATATTAAAAACCACGAAAGTGATATTAAACTATATCATTTTTTGACTATCTCTTTGAAATGCCTATTTATTTGTGTTTTGAAATTTGAGCCATTACTTTTTTATCATACTTTGATTCATTTTCATGTAAATTTGTACCGAATGATACATTATTTCTTGAGTTCTATGCGAAAATGTGTCTGTTCCCTAACTTTTAGACACGAGAGCAGTTTTTTACATCAATGAATTTCTCTAATATTGAACATGACATTTGCACTAACATTAATAAGCAAAGAATAAATCATAAATACTTAATTAGATTATAAATATTTATTGAAGTAAGTTTAAAGGTTTCGATATTTACAAAACAAGCTCTTGTCTTTTAATGTAGTTCAAAATTTTCATGTTAAAAAAAATTGTGCCAAAATCAATTTCTTTACTTCAGAATTTATTGCAATTCTTAATGAAATCATCCTGTTTCTCATCCTCAGAAGGAATTTCAAATTTCACATTCATAGTAGTGTTGGTTGAGCACGTGTCAACAGAATGCGAAGATTCTGGCTCTGAATAATGCGCAGAATCAGTTGCTAGACCAGGATAACAGCAAAGTGAAACATCAAGTCCAGTTGTCTCAAGAGAATGTTTAGAATTAGATGACAAATCAAGAATCGTGGTTTCTGGTGGATGTCTGAACCTAGGAGGCAAATCAAAACTTGTTTCAGGAGAATAATTAAAGTGAGAAGGCATATCACTTCTTTCTGTTTCGGGAGAAGGTTCCGACAAATTAAGACTAGTTGCTTCTGTGTGATGCTTAAAGTCAGGTGGAAAATCAATTCTTTTTGTTTCAGGAGGACGTCCAAATCCATGAGTCAAATCAAAACTTGTTTTTTCAGAAGACTGCTCCAAATCAGAAGGCAAATTGAGTATTTTCGTGTCAGAAGAGCATTTAAATTCCGAAGGAAAATCAAGTCTTGATTTTTCAAGGGAATGTCTAAATTCAGGAGACAAATTGAGAATTGTTTTTTCAGGAAAACATATAAACTCAGAAGACGAATCAAATCTTTTTGTTTCTGGATGACAAGCATATCTAGTAGGAGGCAAATCATGTCTTGTTGTTTCGGAAGGACAAGAATGTCTGAATTCTGGGGCAAAGTCACGTCTTGTTGATTCGGGAGGACAAGAATGTCTGAATTTTGGGGCAAAATCACGTCTTGTTGCTTCGGAAGGACAAGAATGTCTGAATTCTGTGGGATAATCAAGACTTGTTTCAGGAGAATATCTAAATCCAGGTAGTGATAGTTTCCTTGGTTCTATACAATTCATACAGCACGGATAATTTAAATTATCCGGATGCTGGTAAAACCGGGGTAAACCTGAATTGCCACAGTTGAAATCCCGAGGAAAATACAGTGCATTATGGGATTGATGTTGATAAATTTGTAATGGTGATAGCCCTGAGAAATATTGCTTCTCCGGCATCGGAATATAGTATGGCTGACACATATTTTCATAATTTAGCATATTAGGAGAGTTGTGTGAAAGATTTGACGAGATATTCTGTGATATCGGCTCCTGGCAATAGACCCGATTAGACGAAGGAAATTCGGCAAAACTATCTCTTTCGGGTCTCTTCGTGTGCATATAATCTAAAAGCAAACAGAACGCAACGTGTTAGTGTAACAACTCATAGCAATTTAATAAATAATTTTTTTAGCATTTATATTCAAAATATAATCAAAAATCAAGTTATTTTGAGTTAATTCCAAACACATGACCATTATAACAAACAGCTTTCTGTACAGTTGCTGACTAAGTTAGTTCTGAAAACGAATGCTGGCGTTTATTTGTGATAACAGAACGGAAACGATTCGACGTTGTTATAAAACATTTGTAGTAATTTAACAGATGTAAGTTAACTTAAAGGCGAACAGTTTGGAATTGCACACTTTTCAGAAAGAAGAATCAAGAAAGGGGAAGATAGATTACAATTTTATTTTAATAAAAGAAACTATTTCTGCTAACTTTTTTTTCATAATGAAAGCACGAAACTTAAATGATAAGCAAAAATCTGAACTTTGCTGTAGCAGCGATACTTTTCAACTTTTCGCCTCAACAATTTATCAAAGACAGTTTTTGGAAGATCCTAAAAGTCGACTCATAAGTTGAATAAAAATGAACAAAAAATTTTCATCTCATCTTAATCGTAGATAAAAATAACTTTCATCTTCAACCAGATTTGTAAAATACTTCGGATTATTAGGAATGTTTTAACCAACAGCATAAGTGTTATAACATTTGAAAATGAAATATAATATAACTTAATTGTTAACTTGTCACTTATATTATTTAAAAAATTAAATATTAGTATTTTATTTTTAATTTAATATGAATATTACTATTAAAAATTCGTTCATATGAATGGCATGTCTATGCAAGTAAAACATGTGTCTAATTTCTTTATCCAGTGGTTAGAACTAATTAGTTAACATATCCTTTAGTACTCTCAACAAGCATACTTTGAAGTACTATTAGTAACTTACAGTATGAAAATCATTTCACTCATTTGATATTTATTCTGCGTTAATCAGACAAAAGAAACAGTGCAACAAAAAAAAACGAACCACCCTGAATAACTATTGATCTAATGATCAGACGATCTTAACGTTCTAGGACTCAATCTTAATGGTTCAAAGGGAGCCCCACAAATATCGGGGGTAGCCGCAATCTGAGAAATATGGTCCCAATAGTTTGGTCAGGAGAGCTCTTTAAAGTTTTCGACCATTTAATGTTAATTTCACCTTTTGCGTATCTCGCTATACCTCGAGAACTTTTTAAACGAATTGAAAATTTTTTAAATAGAATTATAAAATTCGTTAATCCAAAGATAATTTCATGCAAAAAATGACTTTCAGTAAAAATTTATTATTATTTTATTTAATAATTGTATTAAAATTTTTAAATTGTAAAGTGTACACTGTTTTACATTATTTTGGAGAATATAATTTTACGTAATGGCAAAACACATAAATTTGAGCAAAATCGGTTGAAAAGTTACCGAGAAATCGAATTTTAAATATCTGCCTTTTTTAAAATTTAATTTCTTAGGAACTTTTCAACCGACTTTGCTCAATTTTTTTATTTTACCTTGTAAAATTATGTTTCTTAAAATGATGCAAAAAATTTTACACCTTTCAATTAAAAAAATTTAAAAACAATAAATATTTAATAAAAGTTAATTTTAGCATGGAATTATATTTGATAAACGAATTTTATAATTATGAGCAAAATGTTTTTTAAAATTCGTTTTAAAAGTTCTCGACATACATTAAATTACGCAAGAAGTAAAATTAAGGGGTAAAGACTTCGGGGCGCTTTCCTGATCAAATTATTAGGACCATATTTCCCAGATTGCGGCTCCCCCCCCCCATATTTTGAGGATCAGAAATCCGAATCTCTCGAAAAAAGAGATATGTTTATTCAGAGAAAGTACGTTTTTTTGTCCAATTTCATCGTTTAAAATATCTTCTGCACTTACAAATCAGCATATTTGAAGTCCTCCTCTCAAACAATTAAGATTAAGTCCTAAAACGTGAAGATCCCACCATTTGATCAAAAGTTATTTATTTTCCGTTTTTTAATTTTGCGCACTGTACACTGTCAAAACTGTGGTGTAATTTCTTTCCAAATTCGGTGTTGAACGAACCAAAGAATTGTGTGAAAGAAAAAGTTAATACCATGTCAAGAGCTTGTATCTGCTTTGGAGCTCTCCTAATCAAACTATTGGGACCATATTTCCCAGTGTAGGGAATTAAATTTAAACATCAGCCATGACGAATGCTTACACAAAGCTCACGTGCATAGAAAATTTCATTTTTTTTCTCTTCAAAACCCTCTATTTTGACACAATTAGTTATAGTTGTTATATTGTTTGCATTCGGATTCGAGATTACCTGGATTTGTCACTGTCTTGCACGTTGCTAAACATATACTGAAACAAAAGTTCGCCATTTCAAAATACAAATACATCTAACTTTAAAATTGCGTAATAAGGATATTTACATATGAATTTTAAAGAACTTGCATAATTTTTTTTAACTAATTGTGTCAAATTATTTCAAAATATTTAGTTTCTATCCGCTTCTATTCTGTTAAGTTTAATTCAAATTCGTCTTAATATTCCCTTTGCTATGCGCAAGTTCGATTTACAAACTAATTTGACACAAATTTACATAAATTTAATAAACTAAAGCTTAGTGTATGTATGCATCCTAAATTAACTGTTCTTATATTTAACTGTTCCGTAAAAATAACTTAACTTATTCTTTTGTGTATTTCATTTTACTGCGTTTAAAAACTTAATGTTACTGGATACCAAATATAGGGGAAACTACACTGGTTATCATAAATTAAGGAAAAATCACAAAAATAGCGATAACTCTTTCAAAAGTAAGCCAAACCGTGCAAAATTTGCATATGTTGTCCACTAAGAGTAGCTGAGTAAAATTGCAATATGCAAATTAGTGGCGCTGCACTCGGCTTACGTCATCTGCCTGGAGCATAAAAGTCCAAGTTTGAGAGAAAGCACACAAATTTTACTGTGATTGCGACATTGAAAATCTGAGATAGCCAATTCGTAATAATGACCTCTAGGCATCATTTGCCTGAAGAACTACGATGGAGAGCCATCNTTAAAATTAAATAAAAAAATTTTATTTTTAAGTTAATATGAACATTACTATTAAAAATTCTTCCTTATGAATGGTATGTTTATGCAAGGAAAACATGCGTCTTATTTCGTTATCCAGTGGTTAGAACTGATTAGTTAACATTTCCTTTATTCGTAGTACTCCGAATAAGCGTACTTTGAAGTACTATGAGTAACTTACAGTATGAAAATCCTATCGTTAGATAGAATTTTTCCTTTTGCTCTCATTTGCTATTTATTTCGCGTTAATCACACAAAAAGAACAATGCGCCAAAAAAAAAAGAAAACTGACCATTCTGAATAACTTTTGATCTAATGATCGGATCTTCACGTTCTAGGACTCAATCTTAATGGTTCAAAGGAATGATTCAAATATGGTAATTAATTTGTGCGAAAAATATTTTTAGTTACGAAATCAGACACAAAAACGTATTGTCTCTGAATAAATATGTTCTTTATTTGGGGGCAATCAGGGAAATATAGTCCCAATAGTTTGGTCAGGAGAACTCTTCAAAGTTTTCGACCATTTAATGTTAATTTTACCTTTTGCGTATTTCGCTATATCTCGGGGAACTTTTTAAACAAATCGAAACTTTTTTATATGCAATTATTAAATTCGTTTATCCATAGATAATTTCACGCAAAAAATAACTTTTAGTAAAAATTTATTATTATTTTTTTCAATAATGGTCGAAAAAAATTGGAATTGTAAGGTGTACAATGTTTTGCATTATTTTGAAGAATATAATTTTACGTGAAGGCAAAACACATAAATTTGAGCAAAATCAGTTGAAAAGTTCCCCAGAAATCAAATTTTAAATATCTGCCTTTTTTTAAAATTTAATTTCTCAGGAACTTTTCAACCGACTTTTTGCTCAATTTTTTTATTTTACCTTGTAAAATTATATTCTTTAAAAAGATGCAAAAAATTTTATACCTTTCAATTTAAAAAAAATAATGAAAAACAATAAATATTTAATAAAAGTTAATTTTAGCATTGAATTATCTGTGATAAACGAATTTTATAATTGTGAGCAAAATTTTTTTTAAATTCGTTTAAAAAGTTCTCGAGATATATTGAAATACGCAAAAAGTAAAATTAAGGGGTAAAAATTTTGGAGTGCTTTCCTGATCAAATTATTGGGACCATATTTCCTAGATTACGGCTCCCGCTATATTTTGTGCATCAGAAATCCGAATCTGTCGAAAAAAAAGGTATGTTTATTCAGAAAAAGTACGTTTTTGTGTCCAATTTCATCATTTAAAATATCTTCTGAACTTATTAATCCGCATATTTTAAGCCCTGCTCTCAAACCATTAAGATTGAGTCCTAAGACGTAAAGATCCCATCATTAGATCAAAAGTTATTTATTTTCCGTTTTTTTTCATTTAGCGCACTGTACACTGTCAAAACTGTGGTGTAATTTCTTTCCAAATTCGGTGTTGAACACCAAAGAATTGTGTGAAAGAAAAGGTTAGTACCATGCCAAGAGCTTGTATCTGCTTTGGAGCGCTTTCTAAATCAAACTATTGGGACCATATTTCCCAGTGTAGAGAATTAAATTTAAACGTCAGCCATGACGAATTCTTACACAAAGCTCACTTGCATAGAAAATTCCTTTTTTTTTCTTTTTCAAAACCCCCTATTTTGACACAATTAGTTATAGTTATTATATTGTTTGCATTCGGATACGAGATTGCCTGGATTTGTTATTGTCTAGCACGTTGTTAAACATATACTGAAACAAAAGTTCACCATTACAAAATACAAATACATCTGACTTTAAAGTTGTGTAATAAGGATATTTATATATGAATTTTAAAGAACTTGCATAATTTTTTTTAACCAATTGTGTAAAATTATTTCAAAATATTTAGTTTCCGATAAGTTTAATTCAAATTCGTCTTAATATTCTCTTTGCTATGCGTAAGTTCGATTTACAAACTAATTTGATTAAAATTTACATAAATTTAATAAACTAAAACTTAGTGTGTGTATGCATACTAAATTAACTGCTCTTATATTTAACTGCACCGTAAAAATAACTTATATAGGGGGAACTATTTTCAACCAAAAGTAATTGAGCGGAACATTCCTTTTGTTTCATGACACCAGAACTGTCCTTAATATTTAATTACATCAAGAATTATTTCTGGTATTTCACTACAGTACTTTTGATGTAAAATAGTAGCCAAAATTTAAGCTTTACAATACACTAAAATTTTATAAAATCTCATTACTCGTGTTATAAATACCAAACGTAGTATAAAGTACCATTCTCATACTAAATTAGCTCAAAATCATACCTTGTGGATAGGCTTCATCCCAATGGGGTTTAAGAATTGGAGGGGAAATACTGTCTTTTTTGCTTCTAATTCCTTTGAGATTCGCCACGGATGGATCATAAACAGGATCTGGGCTACATTCCGAAGATCTGTCACTAGATCGGGGAGATTCCAGGATGGACGAAGAAAAACTATCACCTTCCCCCGGATTTGTAAAATACTCAGGATTGTTAGGAACGTATTCAGATGTTGGAGACCTTTTAGCATACTCCTGAATCCATTTTTCTAAAGAACATTCAACAATTCAAAAATTTAATAACATGAGCAAATATCTCATTGAGCATCTACTATTGGGTTTCACAAGCTTAGCTCATAACCTCTTCAAAATTTTCTTAAATTTTCAATAAATGAAGTAATATAAAGATATTTCTCTACCATTTAAAATTTTACTATGAACTAAGTCTAGCAAATATTTGTCTTTTTATGATTCGTATTTTTTGGCAAAAAGTGATAAAAGTGTAATTTGAGACTCGAATTCGCGTCATAAATTTATGACCTATCGATAGATCATGGAAGCAAGAATATGAGGAGCAGGTATAAGATCTCGAGTGAGTGAATAGCAATAAAGCCGTAGAAATGCTATAAGACGTACCAAATATTAACAAATTTTACATATCTATTATTCCTGAATCAACTGATTATTAAAAAATGCCTATTCTATGATCTAATAAAAATGTCACAATTAAGCAACTAAACTAAAATTCTGATTTATTTGGAATTTAAATGTGTCCTTTTTCTACAAGACAATGTGCATTGATATAATTAATTTTGAATTCTTGCTGTAGGTATACCAACTTACCATCGGGTTAACCATGGGAGGTTATCGTGTTTTTCCCCTCCATGAAATGGACACCGGACTCCCGCCTATCATATCGTAGACTGTCTTGGTCCTTTCTGGGAAGACATCTACTCTACTCCTCTTTTGGTCTTCGATTTTATTCTGGTTAACGGGTTCATAGATCTGGTCTGACTTCATCAGGCCAGATGAGGCTAAGCAACAACGACAACAAATGGTTTGCTAGAATGCTACAATCATTTGCTAGGTATTTTATTCGAATATTTTATTTACTACATAATTTCCATCATTCTCACCAACAACTCTTACCCTATTTATTAAATTTTAGCATTTCTTCATAGTTTCTGAATAGTATGGTCTGAATAGTATGATAGCAAAGACTAGCAAAAGCGTTTGAGTTTGGTTAAGCAGTTTTCTTTCATCAGTCTTTAAACTTCTCGAACTATGACTATCCTATACTTACTATTATTACTAATATAAAACAAAGTATCACACTTAGCAAAATATCAAACCTTCCATGCTTCTTTTCAAAGTAAACGATTTCCTTATGTATATAAATAAAAAAAAACAAGTATATTTTATTTGATTTTCGAAATTTTCAACAAATGTAAGAGACTTCATAGGTTCAGTAATAGCAATTTAAAAATTTCATTTTGTTGCTTAATAAGCGTACATTTGTAACTCCTAAATTGATTTTGCTGGATGAGTGTTATCGATAATGTCAACCTTCATCCATGAAAAGGTACCCCCACAAGGAATTAAGTCCCAGTATTAACTGGAAATTTGTTACTTCTGCCGGCCTTTATCCTATTCATCATGTAGTACAGCGTTTCCCAAAGTGTGGTAGGCGTACCCCTAGGAGTACGGGAACAGTTTAACAGAGTACGCGTTCTTATGCGAAATATCTTGCAACAAATGAAAATTTCAACAAAAAAAAAATATTTAAAAACAAAGCTAGCCATGAAAATTTACGATTACGTATTTTTCTATTGACTATTTTTTTTCAGAGTTAGCAGTTAATAATTAGTGGTGTCAACAGCCAGTTGTGATTTTTAAATTTTGTGCAATTTTTTTATAGTAAAAAATACGGTCATTTTCTTATTAGTGATACACAGCGTTACGAAAAATTTAGAAAGGGTGCACAAAAGTCATAAGTTTGGGAAACACTGACGTAGTATGTTAAACTTCGTGGTAGAGCTTTGCTGTTAGCTACCCACGTAGAATTGAGTTAACATGTCCTATATACTAGTGAATTAGAATTGAATAATTGTAGTGGTAATCACGCTACAAATGCATGAAGGAAAAAAAATTGCATACCTTTCTTTGGTTTCTGTTCTCTGGCATCACTGAAACGAGAGGTCTAAAAATTTTCAATAAATTACTATTGATATAAATTAACTTTAAATCACTAACAAACTAAATATTTAGAATGTTTGAAAAAAAAATAGAATAAATGTTACAAGGTGAAAATGTTACAAGTATCAATGTTTTCTCTAACAAAACTCATAACCATACTCTTTTGCATAGCGCAATAAAAACGTCAAGCATATTTTCTTAATTTTAGGAAAATCAACTTTTTAAAATATTGCATTTAACGAATACAAATATGTAAGTAGAATGCATAAAAATTGCATTATATGGACTTTTTAAAAGCATGTATTTCAATTACTGATTTCTTAGAAACTTCATTGAATTCGGAAATATTGGTCACTTTTGACAGCTACAAATTTGCAGTGTTATCCTAAAGAAAGGAAAATACGATGAAAAATAAAAACAATTAGATGCGTATGTTTGCACCAAAAAATATTAAAAGCAAATTTTTTAGAAATATACTTTGACTTGAGTTTCAAATATGCCAGTAAAACGTGCATACATTTAAAAATTATGAAATAAGGGTTAATTAAATTGATCTTGAAATTAATAGAAATCAATAGTATTGAAAGTTAATCGAAAAAAAAACTATTTTCCTCCTTTTTACATATTACAAGAAACCAGCAATCAGAATAACAATCTAAGTAATAAGTATTGATTTTCTTTACAGCAAAACTCTTATCATGATAAAATGCAGTTTAAGAAAAATATATTTTAGAAAACAGAAATTAAAACCTATTCTCAGTTCTTTATGCCATCAAACAAATAAGGAAAAGGAAATTAAATTTTAAAAATACCCAGTGTAATGTTGCTTGATTGTTTAGAATAAGTATGTACGACTAATTAAATTTTAATTTCGTAGTATTTATTTTGAAATACATTCACTATTTTATCCATTTTCTCACAAAATAATATTTAATTTGAAATCTAATAACAATAAAAAAAATACTTCATACGCATTTAAATTTTTATAAATTGACATTATATTATCAAATCAATTCCAAAAGCAAATATGCTGGTGTTGTTACTTATACCACTTGCCAATCTTCTGCAGGCAGAATTCGAACACCCGTTCTCAGGAACAAGAGCCCAACGTCCTCAAGTCAGAAAGTAAATATATACTCATTTATCAAAATATTACGATAATAGTATGTAAGAAATTATCAATACAATCCTTTTCTACCAACTTATTGGATTAACAACAATGAATTTTGCAAATTTGACTTTAGGTTTGTAGTTAGTGGACCTCCTAAATCATACTAAGAATTACATAATATACAGTTTAGCAAAAATCTTATATTTTTTGCCAACTTTCTTTCGATTCAGACTACTCTGTGACGGTGTTGCTATTTGAATGAAATTTTAAGGTATTCATAGCAAGGATCGATAGATGAGTTTTAGAAATGACTTTCAATTTTAGTGAACCATCTAACTAATTTTGATGCTTTGTGTGATACAAGCTTTAGTTTGGTGCTGAGTTATATATTTTATGCAATAACTGATTTTCAGTATGATGACATATTTATAATTTCCGTATCAAATGAAAACGAATAATGAATGAAATAATGAATAACTAGCAAAATCTTTTTTTAAAAAAAATAGTAGTTCTATAGGATGCAATAATAAACTGAATGTTTTGATTTATTTTACGCTTATATATATATTTTTTAAAGCAGGGGGAAATAAACGCTGATACGAAATAATGTCTGGCCAAGCTAATTGTATTATAAAGGCTTTAATTTTTCGCTTTATCAAACAATATGAGCATGGCATTCCATTTTCTTGAAATGCACATTTCGAAGTAATTTTTTTTTTTACACCAATGCTTTTAAACTCATGATTTTAACCGAGATCGTTTGCATTCTTGAAAAGACGCGTTTGATGTTTTACAGGTCACTTTTAACGTCATAGTTATTTGAAGTTTTGTGTACTAGAATTTAAGACAGAGAAATCGATTGTCTGAGGTGACTGGTTGCTAGTACATGATAGATGTATTCACCCATTTTATAAAAAGACATATGTCGTGGAGAATTTTTTTCACCAATGCCTTTTAGATTCATAATTTTAACTGTTATAGAGAAGCCAAATTTTTAAATAGTTAAGGTTTAATTAAGATATAATTAATGATGATAGAAGAGAACTAAATTAGTTTTTGCAAACTTTTTCTCAAACAATGGGTGATTTATAAAAGATATTCTTATACATGCACACATACACCGAAGAGCCATTACATTATGACCACCCTCCATCTATAACAATGGGCTCGCCCAGGTTTTCATTGTTTCTCGCCCAGGAACAATGTTTTCATGGGGCACATTATAGGGCCTATAATACTTATAGAACAATCCCTGACGTCCGTAAGCTACTTGAGCATAGTTGCAGACCAGGTTTACCCATTCATGGCAGCAGTTTTTCCTGCGGGGAATGGTGTTTACCAACAGGATAATGCACCATGTCGTAAGGGTCGAATCGTCAAGGAACATTCCCGTGACTTTCAAGTCACGTCTTGGCCCCCAAGTTCNTTATTAAAAAATTAGATCACGTATAGTGCCTTTATTTTTGTTGATGTTTTTCATCTTTTTATTATTAGCATAGAGCTGGCTAGACAAAGGCAAACAAAACTTAATCTAATATTTATGAGTAACTGTTACAATCTATCAAGAGTTATAATGAATTGCATATTATATGCTAAAATTGTTTTTGTTTTTTTCACATGACTCCGTGATTTTAAATTTTAATTTGTTGTGTTGTTTCTTAATTTATTTTTTCCTCGCCATTATTACTATCAATTTTTTCGAAAATGCCATTCTGAATCTTCCGAAAGTTCTTTAGTTAAATTTACTTTTGGAGAAAACTTCTTGTAGAATGCGGTTCTTAAACATAGTGTTTATCAGATTAGGTAAATGAAAGTAATTTAATGCTATATATTTGTCGCACTGAGATATTTATGCCCAAAATGAAGTGAGAGTTAAAAAAAAGAAGAAGAAGAGAAAGACCTTGTACTTATTTTTCACTGCAAACAATTTTTCTAGCGACTGCATTTATTAGGTTCACCTAATTATTAGAGAATTTTTTGTATTATAATTGATATTAGAGAATAATTAGCATTATAATTGATATAAATAATAATCCACAAAAATGCAATTTTTGTTACTCCGTAAGTAGTAAATTTTGAAACATTTGGGAAGAAGACGAGAAAAATTATGTTTGTTGGTAAAAGAGTCTTGGCTGAATCTAAATAAAATGTGCCCAATATTCATAAATATAAAATAGTAAAATTATTCTAAAGTTATTAGAGCTGCTAACTAAACTGATAATAGTTATTTAATGTTTTGTGTACTAGAATTTGAAAGACAGAGAAATCGATTGTCTGAGATGGCTGGCTGCTAGTACATGATCGAAGTATTCCCCCATTTGGTAAAAGTACATATTTCGTGGAGAATTTTTTGCACCAATGCCTTTTAGATTCATAATTTTAACTGCAATAGAGAAGTCAAATTTTTAAATAGTTAAGGTTTAATTTAGATATAATTAATGATGACAGAAGAGAACTAAATTAGTTTTTGCAAACTTTTTCTCAAACAAAGGCTGATTTATAAAAGATATTCTTATACTTACACATATACACCAAAGAGCCATTACATTATGACCACCCTCCATCTATAACAATGGGCTCGCCCAGGTTTTCATGGTTTCTCGCCCAGGAACAATGTTTTCATGGGGCACATTAGGACCCATAATCCTAATAGAACAATCACTGACGTCTGTAAGCTACTTGAACATAGTTGCAGACCAGGTTCACCCTTTCATGGCAACAGTTTTTCCTGCGGGGAATGGTGTTTACCAACAGGATAATGCACCATGCCATAAGGGTCGAATCGTCGTGGATTGGTTTGAGGAACATTCCAGTGACTTTCAAGTCATGTCTTGGCCCCCAAATTCACCTGACCTTAATCCAATAGAGCATTTGTGGTCCTACTTGGAAAACCAAATTCGTGCTACCACGCTACCCCCTCGAAATGTGAGGGAATTGCAGGACCAGTTGGTGAGCACTTGGTACCAGATACCGCAGACTACCTATCAACACCTTGTGGAATCAATGCCACGGTGGTGCTAGTAGTTTTGAGGGCTAAAAGTGGTCCTACATGTTATTAGCAGGGTGGTTATAATGTAATGGCTCTTCGGTGTATATGCTCATTACATATTTGTAAAATCTTAAACAACAAAAATCCAATAAAATTTAAATAGTGAACATTGTAAGCATTTGGATACCTGTAAGCGAACATTATGTAAATTAAAAATAACAATATTTGGCGATCTTTCTATCTATTTTTCATCTATCTCCAAAGTTAACTTAAAAACAGTACCTGCGATTCCATGCTTGCCTTTTCCACTTCATTGTCCCCACTTCGACGCAAAAGAGCTCTTCTTGCCAACCGTTTTGATTTTTCCAATCGCGCTGTTCTAGGGCAGTAGACATAACCTGTAATAAAGTAACATTATTATAATTAGTTGTTACAATCTAGATAGTATTTATTTACTAGCTGAATACAGATTCAGCTAGTTAATAAATGGGGAGAATAAAAACGGTAGTAATCAATAAATCAGTACTGATCAACAAAATCATGCACAAAATTGAAAGGTATAATCTGGTATAATTAATAAAGTTAAAGTAATTCCAATTATTTATTTTTTTAATCTTTATTTGATGCCCTTCCTGGTGTATTTGCGTTATAAAATGAAGCAGTACACGTTTTTTTGTTGTTCATCCTATCAACTGTAGTATTCGAGACCATACATGATATTTCATACATGATAGTCAAAATTACCAAATATATCAATATAATACTTTGTACCTATGTTGGTATATTTGATCTCTATTGCATAACCCTTCATGATACTCACCATACGTATCTGAAAAAGAATTTTTAAATTTTTTTCATCAAAATATTATAAAATTAAAATTTGAAAAAATTAATAGAAAAATTACCAAAGTTTGTTTTACTTAGAATTAGTCCAGTGGGCTACAAAATTTACGTAACTTTTTCAAAAATATAAAAAAAAATTCGAAAAAGAAAAGAAAAGTGTTAAAATGTAATGATAAAATGTATAATAGTTTTTATAATGCTATTATGCTTCAATTTTGCAAAGTTTGCAATGTAAAAAATGTCTGTGAAGTAGGTCAGTTATGATAAGTCGGTCAAGTAAGTTAAGATTTTTAGTTAAATAGGTATATATTGAACGGGACTTGTTGAACGTTGTGTTCAAGAAAATAAAAGCAAAGAATGATAGAACATCATTGTTTCCTACACGTGTATAGAAATAATTTTCTAATAAAATATTAAATAAAAGTATAAATAAAAATATATTGTATCAAGGTCACGTTGAGTCCAACCCTTACTATTGACAACACGTGGCTCGACAAAATACTTAACTATTCATATATCGAAGAAATATTAATAAAACATATTTTATTTTATAACAGTCGTTGAACAATTCACTCAATTTTAATTTTACGAGAACCAATGTTCAACTCCGTAGCCTTGTAATTTTGGCCCCAATCCAGAGCAAAAGGGAATTCGCGGATCAATTATTGGTTGTAATTTGCTCTCATTGAAGACTTTATTATGTAACTAATTCGCATTTGTGCTATATGGAGAGGAAAACCACGAAAGTCTCTTACGATTAGGTGGTCGGTGCGAGCCGGGTGCGGAATTCGTATTAACCTGCCATCGCTGGGATCCGAACCCAAGGCACCTCGTTGGGAGGCGAGTGCTCTATCCCCTGAACCACCATGGCTTCAATAAAACATGTATAAAAAGTTGGAGATACTTTTTTGTTTTATGTTATTAAATTATCTGTGAAAAAAAAATTATTACAATAATTTAACCAGAACCGTAATTCCTTTAAGTGATAGTGTACCTGGATATTTTTGCTTATGGAGAAGTTCTAACTGTTTAGCCATTTTGTAGTACTTCTCTTTTGTTTTGGCATCTGTCATTTTCCACGTATCACCCAATAATTTGCTGATTTTTTTATTGTCCTTATTTGGATTTTGACGAGCAAAACCTTTCCTGTGTTCTCGGGCAAAAATCATGAAGGCATTAGGAGGACGTTTGATCTTCGAGTTAGGCTTCAGCACTAGTTCTGACAGGCAGGGTTCCATGTGCTCTGCCATTGATTTGTTTAGTTACAAAACACGAAACCTATTTAATGTCGCTGAAATGAAAGTGATGGAATTAGACTAGGAAACAAATGAACAACAAGGCGAATTGCAGCGAAATTAAATTTATTCTATGAAGCTTTTTTGTTTAAGGAAAATAAAATAGTCACAGTAACTTAAACCTTGAAGTAAAACATCATCTATTGATACTATCTTATGATAGAAAACTGACTAAAATTTAAAGCGGAAAAAAAATTAAATATTTTATGAAATTTCTTTTATTTTTTTATTTATTTTTTTTAAATTTGATAACTTGTATTTTTCCAATTAGATAAATATCATTTAAAGCAATATTAATAATACTTATCCATTTTTTCATATTTTCATGAGTCTAAACAATGCAGAGTGTGACTAACTTTTCAATTATTAAAAAATTAGATCACGTATAGTGCCTTTATTTTTGTTGATGTTTTTCATCTTTTTATTATTAGCATAGAGCTGGCTAGACAAAGGCAAACAAAACTTAATCTAATATTTATGAGTAACTGTTACAATCTATCAAGAGTTATAATGAATTGCATATTATATGCTAAAATTGTTTTTGTTTTTTTCACATGACTCCGTGATTTTAAATTTTAATTTGTTGTGTTGTTTCTTAATTTATTTTTTCCTCGCCATTATTACTATCAATTTTTTCGAAAATGCCATTCTGAATCTTCCGAAAGTTCTTTAGTTAAATTTACTTTTGGAGAAAACTTCTTGTAGAATGCGGTTCTTAAACATAGTGTTTATCAGATTAGGTAAATGAAAGTAATTTAATGCTATATATTTGTCGCACTGAGATATTTATGCCCAAAATGAAGTGAGAGTTAAAAAAAAGAAGAAGAAGAGAAAGACCTTGTACTTATTTTTCACTGCAAACAATTTTTCTAGCGACTGCATTTATTAGGTTCACCTAATTATTAGAGAATTTTTTGTATTATAATTGATATTAGAGAATAATTAGCATTATAATTGATATAAATAATAATCCACAAAAATGCAATTTTTGTTACTCCGTAAGTAGTAAATTTTGAAACATTTGGGAAGAAGACGAGAAAAATTATGTTTGTTGGTAAAAGAGTCTTGGCTGAATCTAAATAAAATGTGCCCAATATTCATAAATATAAAATAGTAAAATTATTCTAAAGTTATTAGAGCTGCTAACTAAACTGATATAATATGAATATCTTAAATATGTAACATACTAAAATTCAAAATAAATAAATAAATAAAGTTTTTTAATGCATCAGAACTCTTGCTTGCGAAAAAAAGAATTCATCGCTAAATTAATTTATTTAAAGGGTGATTTGTAATTAAATATTACGAGAACCTGAAAAGTAAAATAACATTATGTTACTATAGACAAATCCACGAATCTGTCCATATTTCGTAATATTGTTACGATACGAAAGGATTTACATTACATTAACTAATGTAAGAAAAAATACCTGTTTCTATAAATTGTGTTTTTTCTAAAATCGTCTGTTTAAACTAAGATTCTCTTGATTCAAAATAATTTTCTTTCTTCACTCTATTCAAAAAAATTTTTTGCGTACTGTTTCGAGCTGCTTAAGTCAACCCAAAAAATACATGTTTTTTAAATTTTTATTATAACCATTTAAAAATATCTACAAATCGAATTGATTTAAAATGCACTTAAGAATTTGAGCAGAGTGCTCCATAATATTATTAATATATTCAGCATTATTTAATTTGTGTAATTTTATGTAATATTATTTAATGAACGTTTTTTTTTTTTTGTTTCCTTGTCAAAAATGAAAAATTGCCTTTTCAAAACCAGTGAATTCTACACAAAATCATTTATGTATACTCGTATACATGTGTTATGACTCCGCTTATGTTATGACTACGAGACGATGTGTGAACAAGCCTAATATTCTATGCAGTTTTGTTATTGTAATTTGGGCTCAAATCTAAACATAATTNTTTCTCTTAAGAAAATGATTAAACCAGTGATTCCCAAAGTGGTCAATATCGACCCCAAGGGGTCGACGACAGCCTGCAAGGGGTCCATGTCAACTGAAAAAAAAAAAAAATTGGGGGTCCATGAAATGAAAATGGGGGTCAACGATTGTGGATTTCATATAAGCAGGTCGTAACTTTTAATTTTGGCATTTCATAAATGGAATAATCAGCATACACTGATAGTACCGTATTTACTTACATTATACTTCTTCTTCTTCATAAGCGCAACAGCCTTTCACAGGCCAAGGCTGACTCGCAGAGTTTCCTCCATCTGACCCCGTCCAGTGCGACGGCCCGCCATCGGTTGACTCCCAATAGCTTGAGGTCCTTTTCAACGTCGTCTATCCATCTTGTAGGTGGATTCTGAGGCCGTAGAAACTTCTGTTAGCCATGGAAATTCTGTTATTTATTTCGATTTTCAGGTTGTTGTGGATAGAGATCAAGGTTCCTAAGTACTTGAACTGGTTAACAGTTTCAAAAGAGTAAGTCATTATCTCCAGAGGAGATCGATCAGGAGTTTTATTTGTTGCGATTAAAAACTTGGTTTTTCCGGTGTATCCCTCCGCTTATGTTATGACTACGAGGCGATGTGTGAACAAGCCTAATATTCTATGCAGTTTTGTTATTGTAATTTAGGCTCAAATCTAAACATAATTGTACCATTCATAAGAGCTTTCAGAAATGTATTGATTCTCAGAGGTCGTAAGGCCAAAAAAAATTTTGGAAAGTTAATATCTCATTGTGAATAATTCTTAAGGTTTGCCATGTTTTGTATTTTATGCCTCATTTGGCTACATTTGAATAAAATGTCGCCAAAAATATCTTTAAAAATATCTTTTTAAGTTAGCCTAATTAGAAAATATTCTAATGATTATAATATTAATATGATAATGCTGAAGTTTAAAGGCTGAAAGAAAGAACTCGGTACATGTGAAATACTGCAAAAGATATGATGCAATAATATGATGGCGCGTTTTTTCAATCTGCGGCGTAAAAATATATCGGAAGCAGTCTTGAAAGAGCAATTTTACCACTAGCGCCCCCACCTTTAGCTTTACACGATCACCCATCCATATCTATCTACATTCTACATAATTTACAAGAGTAGCTATGAAGTAAAAATGTCATTAAAATTTAAGTTTTTAGGATTATTTTTTGATATATGAAACTGAATTATTATAAACTAGCAGTTGCCTGCAGTTCCACCCGCGTACGTTTTTATTTTCTCTGCGTGTAAGGTTTCATTTTATAACAAAAAAGTATTTTTCCGCTGTAAATTGTAGCCTAGCCTATGTCAACTCTTTATAGCTAGCTAGGCCTCCTACAGTATCTGCGCACAAGATCACGGAGATTTGTTACTTAGTTTTAAAGTAAAAACGTAATAAAGAGACCGACAATACACTACTACGGTTTTTGAAGTTATACTTCTTATGCGACTTCCAACAAAGTTGCGTTAAACGTTAAACGATACATTTTTATTGGCCGGGCATTCACGTGGTAGGATCCAATTTTCCCTCATTCATTTCCATATTGTTTCGGTTCTCATTAGCATAAAAGTCATAAAAGTATTGTTTTTCTATAAATATTTTTTTAGTTTGATTTGATACTCATATAATTTAACAGGATAGTATTTTTTATTTTCAAATTTAGTGGATAACAATTGTAAAAAATGAGTGAAAACAATCCCANAAATTTAAGTTTTTAGGATTATTTTTTGATATATGAAACTGAATTATTATAAACTAGCAGTTGCCTGCAGCTCCGCCCGCGTACGTTTTTATTTTCTCTGCGTGTAAGGTTTCATTTTGTAACAAAAAAGTATTTTTCCGCTGTAAATTGTAGCCTAGCCTATGTCAACTCTTTATAGCTAGCTAGGCCTCCTACTGTATCTGCGCACAAGATCACGGAGATTTGTTACTTAGTTTTCACGTAAAAACGTAATAAAGAGACCGACAATACACTACTACGGTTTTTGAAATTGTACTTCTTATGCGACTTCCAACAAAGTTGCGTTAAACGTTTAACACTACATTTTTATTGGCCGGGCAATCACGTGGTAGGATCCAGTTTTCCCTCATTCATTTCCATATTGTTTCGGTTCTCATTAGCATAAAAGTCATAAAAGTATTGTTTTTCTATAAATATTCTTTTAGTTTGATTTGATACACATATAATTTAATAGGATAGTATTTTTTATTTTCAAATTTAGTGGATAACAATTGTAAAGAATGAGTGAAATCAATCCCACGGACAATGCGACGGATTTAAGGTTATGTCAAGGTACGTCTCTTGTGAATATCATGTCCCGCAATGGACTGATCGTTAAGACGCGGTTCCCAGCAGATCACCGAAGTCTAGCATCACTGGCTGCGGTCTGTGTGCGGGTGGGTGACCACTTGGATCAGTCTGCGTAGGGACCGAGGGTGTGCGGTGTTGGTCCTCGTTAACCCGGTCGTTAACCCTCGTTGGTCCCGGTAAGTGCTCGACTTCGCGCGCAGGTCGTTGGTCTACCGAAGCGGGGGTGCCATCCCCTCCGCAGAGGATCAAAATTGCGATGGCGTTTCTTCGGATCATCCTCCGGGATGTTTCCCAGACCGTCGCCAATAGCCAATTGTGCAGCTCTAGTGCGACGTAAATTAACAACAACAACAACAATATCAATTGATTGTTAGGTTTTCTCTTTTGAAATTACATTATGACGCATTCACATACATTATTAATACAAATACATTTTCCATGGCGAGACGATGAGACAACCACAAGCACTTCCACTGGTTCAAGAGGTCCAGGCGGAAAAACGCACAATATTACCGTTATTACAGAGCACGGAAGCGAGTGGAGCAGGAAAAAGAGTCGTTGAATAGAACTAGTGATCCTTCTACGACTGCTGATTCTATTACAACTAACGTCGCAGGTTACGAAGTTTAACTTCTTCCGCGCCGAGGGACTCCATGCACTATTTTTTCATACAAACTTATTTCTGCAATTATAATATTGGTAGAGGAGTACGGGTTTTATAGTGCATTATTTTATTCCATTTACATATTAATTAAATTACATTAGTAATTAAATTAGTTTGAATTTAATTAATAAATGTAGAAAATTAGCATGTGTTTTTTTCTTAAGTTTTTTCACACTACACTTCACTACAGTTAGATATTTAAATCTTTCACGCTAAGTAGAACTATACATGCTGTCAAAAACACATTTGAAGTTGATGAATTTACAAAAAAGCAATATCAGGTAAGCAGGGGGTCTGATCAAAACCGAAAAGCATGGCAATGGGTCTACGAGACAAAAAAAAAGTTCAGGAACCACTGGATTCAAAATTTCAGTTTGTTTTGGACGGCATTTTCAGAACAGTTTGGACTGGGATCCAAATGCTTGTGTCGAAGAAACTGACCCTCTCTGCACGTGATTCGTTCATGAATTCCGAAACATTCTGATGACGTCACATTAAATGAGCTCAACTGAAATGCGTGAATTATGCGTGAATTATTCTACACGAGCTAAAAGCATATGAAAACAACTGCAAAGATTCTTAAATCTCCTACTCGTTACCAAAACAAATCGTATAATTTGCTGAAATTTCTGCTGATATTTCTCTACAGACGTGAAGTCAAAGAAGTTTCAAAACAACACTAAACTTTTTCTATGATATATTTCGTTTTCTCTTTTTAAAAATGGAATCTGATTTTAATGTTAATTTGTTTTGGGCGGTAACATTTTGCGGTATTATATGCGCCTTCATTCCTGCTCTTGTGAGGATGGTAATAAAAAATAATTTGAAAAAAAATAAAAAATAAAATGACTCTTTATGCGTAATAGATTGCTGTTTGAAACTTAAAACTTTTAGTTAATTTATATATACTGGCAATTTAATATCACCAATTATATTATGTTTCAATCTTGTTATCTGTATATGTATTCTTGCATCATCAAATCGTTAACTAACTTCCTTCTAACTTGTGTGTTCATTTATTTTTTTCTCACTTTATTTTTGTCTCACTTATTTTTGTACCACTTTAATTGCAAAATATTTTATTGTGTGTCTTTTAGTTTAGGTAATGTTTTAATGGTTTTTTATATTGTTCAGCAAAAGATCTGCGATTTTAGAATTTAAGCAAAATCATGAAATCATTCGTTTATTTTGTACATAAAAGTTTGGACTCTATAAAATAATTGCTTCAGCTGGAATAAGATAGATTAAAAGTTGAAGACTTGCGTCTCATTGCTGAAAATTCTGTTAAGCGTTTGCCTTTCTGCATTGCTGCAAATGGCAATCCCTTTGAGACCAATGAAATTTATTCCTCTGTAAGAATCTACTCTTATTATCATCTATTACATTTTGTTAGTTTATTTTACAATAAAATTACATTAAAAATTGCTTGTCATTGTTATTTTACCTCACCTTTTATTTAAAAACCATTAGAAATGTTATTTTTTTATTTCCTTCTTCCCATCCCTGAATTGAAGTGTTATCCCTTACCTTACTCTATTAAATATCTATAAAGAAACACCTATGTAAAATTTATATTTAGAGAAATAATAAACAAAAACAGTTTATGAAAATGAATAATGCCTGCATTCAAACAATGTAAAAGAGCTTTTTGAAATGGAAAGTGTTGTGTCAATGTCTAGTTAAAAAAACGTTTCAGCCCTAAAAATGGAATATACAGAGTCAGGGATTTGTTTAGGTTTTTCTGAGAGGTATCTATTTTGTGACATAATTTGTGAAAATTAAAAACTATATTAAAAAATCAACAAAAAAATTTGGTGAAAATATGGATATATCATTTCCTATGGGATGCAAAAATAAAATTTACAAAAAAAGTATTTTGCGAAACTACTGTTTTTCCGAAAATTTAATTTGTGAAGGTACCGGTAGTAAATTTGGCCTGGCAGACCCCTGAGAGTGCCGTTTGAATATCGGTACATTACAAACTTCAATGGGAGGAAGAGTACATCTAAATATCTTAATTTCATGTTAATTAAGATATTTTTAATTTTGTATTTTTAATATTCAATTTTGTATTTAATAATTGTCAAAAATTGTATTCATGTAGGCCAGTGTTTCCCAAACTTGAGACTTCTGTGTACCCTTAATAGATTTTTTGTAACGCTGTGTACCACTCATAAAAAATTATGTATTTTTGCTGTAAAAAAAATTGCTCTAAAGTTAAAAATCACAGCTGACTGTTGACACCACTAATTATTAACTGTTAACTCTGCAAAAAATAACCAATAGAAAAATACACAATCGTAAATTTTCATGGCTAGCTTTGTTTTTGAATAAAAAATTTTGAAATTTTCGTTTGTTGCGAGATATTTCGCATCAGAACGCGTACCCCCGCTAAACTGTTCTCATACCCCTGGGGGTACGCGTACCACACTTTGGGAAACACTGATGTAGGCTTAAAAATTTTTTTTAACAATTTGATGAGCTTTAAAAAAATTTTTTGTCAAACCATTTAGTCACAATAAAACAACTGATACTGAGCTTAATGCAGTTTTGTCAGTAATTATTAACTATATAATTAAGATAATTTAGATAGATGAAAGTACCTGTTCAAAGTCACGCAAAGAAGCAGCTCATTATAGGAAAGCACTCATAGTGGCATACAATGACATTTCTGGTAATGGGTTGCTATGCTATTTATGTTCTACTATTACTTCTCCTATTTGTGGGGCATGCTTTATTCATAGACGAGTTTAATGCTTTATTCATAGAAAATTGCCAGTTATTTATAAAAATTATTTGTAATATAAGTTATTTCTGTCGGTGTTCTATAAAGGGATGCTCTCTCTATAAAAATCTGGCAATAAAACTGAATTGAGAAAACCAAACTGATGATTTCTTATTCAGTATACCAACCGTATTTCATTTTAAAAATACAAAACATAAAAACTTGCTTTTGTAAATTGTATTTCGAATATAGATATGTACCTTTGGTTAATCCTAGTTTTCTATAGTGTGTTAGTTAGGTCTCTTTTGGAATCTTTGACAGATTTTATGATGAAAATTATGTTATTCAGATTGAAATATGAAGGTTAGATAGACTTGAATATTTAAATTTTCATTTAATAGCCAGTGGAGGATAGACTCAAATAACTTAGTAGCCACTTTTTCTTCACACCTAATGAGCCGATGATAAATGTCAATAGATCCTATTCATTTAATAGTCACCTTTTTGAAAAATTTTTTTTGCTTCATTAAATATGTTTTTAAAAAAAATTCATATTTAAAATAATCTAGTGATTATTCAAGAATAAAAATAATGTGAAATTCTGAAAAAACTGAGTTAAACATGCCAACTTTAAAGAACTTTATTTAAAAATATTTGGGTAGGCAAAATGCATTTGATGTATGCATTAAAACATTGAAATATGTGAATCGTTTACGAACTTTTCTTCTGCATGAATCTGCTCTTTGAAAATTGATGGATTTTGTAGGATCAAAATTTTGAAGGAAAAATTAAGCATTTTGAAGTAAAATCCTGTTTTTCAGAGTTTTTTGCATTGATTGTACTTTTATCATTAAACAATTTGAAGGAAAAAAAAGCTAACAAAACGATAGAAAAAAGTGACCTGTTCTTTATTTCAGTTGCCACTTTTTTTTGTTGACTCTCCATGCGGCAAGTGGTTATTTCCAGGTCGACTGTTGTAGTTTAATTATATTATTTGATCTTTGAATCATGTTAATAATGTTACTCTTCTTTGTAAAAATTTTTTAAAAGTTTTTTAGCTTATTCATTCATAAATTTATTTTTCGTTAGGTCTTGCAAATTATTACAAGAGAAACTGACATGGAGAACAACCTTCGTCGTCAAGTATGTGATCTTAAAGCTGAATTAGGCAGCATTAGTATGGTAGATGAGTTTGCTAAATATGCTAAAATTAAAAGAAAAATCAATAAAGCCACGGACGAATTAACTCATCAATGTAAGTTATTTTTGTTTGCTTTTTTATTTAAAAGTGATTTTATGTTTGTTCATAATGCATTTGAATAAATATGTCCATTTTTTCATTTTTTCACTTCTATTTGTTCTTTTTAATTATTTTTCTTTTTTCCACTTTTGTTTAAGGTTCTGAAAGTGAAAGAACATCATTGATATTGATTGATTATATTAAGATAAATGTGTGATTGTATTGATTTTGATTATTGAAATATTTTATTAATTTATTCACTATTTTATCTCATGATTCTTTTTGTTATATCTATAAACATTTATTGTTTGTGAGATTTGCTTTTAACCACTTTACTAAAAATTAGTTAAACAAAGAATTGTTAATTGACAAAGTTGAACACTATTTAATATATTTTCATATAATATAACGAGAAAGTTTACAGAAATTTTTTGATCGCAGTCTCCAAAATTTTTATGTACGTCTTCTTGTAGGAAATTTTTTTTTTAATACTAACCTTAACTGCAATTCTCTATTATTTATCCATTATTTTCAAAACTACAAGTATTTTTCTGTCATAAGCACGCTAGGAAATCAATTTTGCAATACTAATGATTTATTTTAAAATAAAAATTAAATCATGCTTCAAAATACCAAAAACATGTTATCTATTTTTTTGTTAAAAGGGTGTTTTAGTATAATCAAATTTGTCTTTTAAATATATGTTTATGAAGGAATTCAAGTTTGAAGTGGTTATAAATTATCTATCATAAAAATTGTGACTGATTCACTATGTCTTCCCGGCTAAATTCTATGAATTATTTTTTATAATTTATTTAGTAAACAAACTTTAGTATTAAAGCTTTTATGTTGCTTCAAATTGTTTTCCTCCTGTTTTTAAAAAAGTACTCATTAAACAAATTCTTTTTCTTTTAATAATCTAAATCACAATTCATACGTTTTCAATTTACTAATCACTAATTATACTTTATCAGGGTTAATTTTCACTATGTTAGTAATATAAATTACACTCCAATAACAATTGTATTTTTTTTTTTAATATAATCAATTCATTATTTGCAATGTATACTAAAAAAAGTGTTGAGTTAGAGTGGGCTCTTCAGTGACACAGGTGTTTGAAACACTCTCAAATAGCTAGTATAACGCTGAGACCATGAGTTGGATCCTGATGATCGAATAAACAAATGGAATCCATGTGCGATAAGATGCACATTTAAAGCTACCAACTCAACTGGATTTTGCCAGTTTCTCCTGGTTTACTAGTTTAATAAAAATTCGTTTGGTTTTTGTATAAATTAAAAATTCCCTAATATTGAGTGAACTAAAACTAAGCTCATTGGCGCGATGGCCCATAGAAGGCCAAGTCCTACTGTGCCCATCTCAGCTTTCTTGACCTTTGGCTCTGGGGTGCAGGAGCAGATGTTCCATTTGGGTGGTCAGCTGAACGTGAAACTTTCAGTGTTTAGTCTCCAAGTATGCTTGGAACTCATTTTATCAACCCACTGCAGGGTTGAGACAACCTTGTTCGGCTAGAGGAACAAACGCAAGACCTGTGGCATGAGAGTGTGAAGTTCTAGCACTCAGCCACTGGGCGTTTAGTAAGTTAAAAGTGAGTAAGTTTCCTAAAAAAAGTCGCGGTTGAAATAGAATTTTAAAATAAAAAATCTTTTAATTATCTTTTATGAACTAAATGCCTTTTAATATTCGAAATTATGAGTAAACATAATAAGTAACATTTCAAATACAAGTTCATTTAATACCAATCATAACTAGAAAATATTGCAGACCTTTTGAAGTTTTTATATTTTAATGACTAAAAAAATACCTAAAATACCCTGTGTGTAAAGTATATATAATATTATGCAACAATTATCATGAAATTTATATTTCATAAAATCTATTGGATTGATATTTTGTAAAATCTACCTTTTTGTAAAATTTACCTTGTTGGCAGCTATGCACATTATGACGCTTTTATCTCTTCTATGGTTCCGGTGGTCAATAATTATCAGTTAGGAGTTCATGTAAATATTATCTCATGATTAACCCAATAGGATATAGTCCCCGAGTTTAAATCAATGGAAAACAATAGCCATTCACCAGTTTCTCTTTGCGATTTTCTCTTCTCCTACTGTTGCTCCTCAACTTGTCAACCACTTTGGTAGTAATAGTGTTATTTTTCTTGGTCCAAACAACAATGAGAAAAGAATTTGCATCAAGTTTTTCATGTTTGCCCAACCCTATTCAAACTCTTGGCTGTTAGTAGATATGTTCATTCGGAAATTAGAAATAGAGTGTTGATTAATAATCCAGAAAATAATCAAGTGTCAAATAATTTGGAGTCGATTGTACACATAAATTAAAGCTTTTGTGTCTGTATTATTAATAATAATATAAACTTAGGAAATATTTTTAAGATTGTAATTTATATTGAGACCTTATTAGTAATTAAAGTTGTTTTATACATAGTTAAGAACATCTTAAAATGTTTTAAATGTAAAGTTTTTGTCAGAAAAGTCTGGCAGCTTTCTTCTAAAAACAAATACTAATATTATCTTTTTCTTTAAACTATAACCATCAAAGGTGACATGATTTTTTTTTTATTTATTTAAATTTATTACACAACTCCTCCTGCTCTACAAAGTATAACATGATGCTTACAGATGTAAGTGGGCAAAGTAAAGTGCAATTGTAAATTAAAAAGAAACGGAGCAAAATTAAAGGTTTAAGTTGTAAACAAACTTGCTTAAAATTATTTAAATTTTCAGTGCATTTAAACAACAAGTACAAAAAGGTTAGAATTATCTGAGTGTCTCAGTCCTCTTTTAAGCTTTCTCTTTGACTTGGATATAAATTACTATAAAATATAATGTGTTCTCCAGTGTCAGCATCCTGACCACAAGAACAGAAATTACAAGCCACTAAATTAAACCTAAACTAGTTGTTAAAATTTCCATGTCCTGTAAGAGTCTGAGTTAATTTAAAGTTGGTAAAACTTTTCCTACACTTCTACTGCTGAAAAATCTTTTAGTCCACGCAGCTTTTGGAGAAGCCAAGAATTCACTGTTCCAGTTCAAAACAGTTTTTTCCCAAGCTACATGTTTTCAGTGTAACGATGGGGCAGACATCAACAGATCAATATGAAAACAAGTCATGTCTTCTCCAACTTGTCTGCTCTATCATTACCGAGATCACAGCTATGGCCCTGAGCGTAAGAAAAATGGAATTCAGCAATACCATTGAGGGCGTAGACATTGAATTGAATTTCCACTACAGGAACTGTAATAATACTATTACTTAAGTGAGGAAAGTGAATCTATGCAGAGTAGATACCCGATATTCTCACTGTGCTGAAGAGAGTCTTTAATCTATTTCATGGCAATATTTACACATAGCAGTTCAGCTTGAAAAAAAGAGTATATTTGTCTCATAATCGATGTTGGAAAGTAACTTTTTCAAATCTTCATAAAGGACTCAAGCAAGTTCAACTGTTCAATTTTATTTACTTCCATTTGGGAAATTTGTGTGCAAATGGATTTTTGTTTCACAAATTTGTTTTTAGAAGGAAAAAAAATAAAGACTTCGCTAGCTTGAGTAATAAGCGTGATAGGTTTACTTTATTAGTAAACCATGGCAGGGTCACATGATTGTCTATCAATTTTTAGATGGGCAAGTAAATTTTAACTACATTTTTTATATGTTATTTTGAATGAATCAGTTTCTTTATTTGACAAATTTGAGTAGTAATTTATTTTAATTTTTTTACAGCTGATGTTCGTACCTCATACAAAATGAGAATGCATTTAATATATACTGCTAGCCTGTATGCAGTTCTGGTAAGGAAAAACTTAAGTTCAACATATTTCAATTTAAATTGTTTATCTTATTTGTTTTTCTTTAACTATAAGTTTTAGAAACTTCTATTAATATTTTTCAACCCTTTAATTTACAATTTTCGTATTTAATTTTCCGTAGCTCTTGTTTGCTTTTTTGCACTATGAATTATTTTTTTCTACATGAAAAACATTGTTCTAAAAGAAATTACTGTACAAATCTGTTCAAATTATTGTGTGGAGATCATAGTGTATGATTTTACCTCTTTTTTGTGTACATCTTCACCTATTTATATTTAATAAAAAGCAAAGGCTGATTGTTTGCTGGTAATTTCTCCCAAGATGAGTTTTAATTCACCTTCTTCATTTTTATGAAAATTTCGGAAAATTTTCCTTCATTGCATTAAAGAACTTTATAGGTGGAATTTCTCACTAAACATCTTAATTTTGATTTAAATATTTTCTTTCTGCTTCATATGTATTGTTTCTCTGAGTTTTAAAATAGTTTATTGTGTTTATTTTATTATCCTTAATACTTAACTACTCGTTATTTGAGTTTATTTTTAATGTGGAAGTTGCTTGTTTTTATCATTTCCGTTTTTACTTTTAACACATAGTTTTTATCGCGTACAGGAAACTTTAGTTCATGCTTTTATTCATTCTTTTTGCTTTTATTCAGATTCTTTTTTGAATAGGTATGAATAGTGCTTTTCTATATTCTTAGTTTGAAAAAGTAAGTTGTTAAGCAGTTGTAGTATTTTATTTACGTCACACTAGATGCTCAATGGGCACAATTGGTGATGGTGTAGGATGAATCATTCCTGAGGTTAATCCGAAAGCATGCCCTCTCAACTTTGATCCTTTGCTGTGGGGTTGACTTATCCTCTTTGGTAGCCTGACCACCTGTGTGCGAAGTCAAGTACTTTATAGTAAAACGTTTCAACAAGGACTTATACCTCACTCCTTTAGTCTCTTTGAACGCTGATCAAAGTGGGCACTCACCTACTCGCTAACTGCAGTCGGTGATGCTTGTCTTCGGCAATTGTCTTAGGATCAGTCCATTGTAGAACTTTTGATCTGCAGAGGTCCAGCTAAGGTTTGCAGTACCTAGGGACAAATTCAGTGTTTGCTTCCCCTTGAAATTAGGCCTTAAAGGGAGCTTTTTGGAACTATTTTATGTTTTAGATAATGTTAAAATTTAAATCCACCATGATTGGCATTTTTTTGTTATTGCATTGAGAACTTTTCTGAAAATTTTTCAGTCATTATACTTCATTAATTTCATTTAGTTTTGATTGGTTTAAAATTCACCAATTTATATTACTAATGTGGCTCCTATTACACTTTTTGTTTGCGTTTATTGTTTTTGAATAAATATTTTTCTTAAACAAATCTTTCAGTCAATATATCTCCTCTCCTATTTGTAAAATAAAATTAATTAAAGAAAATTCCTACATGCAAAGCAAACTACAATATTAATAGATATCCTGCTCAATTTTTAGGTTATTCGTATAAACATTTGAAGAACTAATGGGGCTCACAATCTGGGAATGAAACTAAAAATATTTGAAAGAGATTATTCCTAAATTCATTTTTAATTATTTTTTTATAACTTTTGGCACCCCTCTAAGGCTGCATTGGGGCATAAGTCTTCAGATAGCTACGCCACTGTTAAAATGTGTAATAGTTTTCGCTATTCTGATGTCATTTGTACTCAGTTACATTAACTTGTTTTACAGACAATTTGGACCATTGAGTGAAAACATACATACTTTTTTGCTGATATTAAATTATTGTTTGTTATTTTGCTTTGATATGTTAGAAAGTTATGATGTTTTAATATTTTTCAATTTCAGGGTTGCACTGTAGTTTTTCTTTTATGGAATTATCGAAAAGAACCAATAGTAATTTTACCAAGAAATTGGTTGTATCCATTTGAATCTCTGTTGTCGTATCCTTCTGATGTTCCAGGTATAACAATCCTTGTTGTCTAAAATTAGTTATGTTGGCTGCTTTTTTATGTTTTTAATTTTTTTTTTTAAGAAAAAAAACATATTTTTTTTAATGTTGCTATTTTTGTTTCTAAAACTTATTACTGTATATCCTGGTGTATAAGTCTACTTTTCAAATTCCTAAAATTTTTAAAAAATTCAGTAGGTTGACTTACACGCTAGTAATAGAGATGGACATTTGTTGATTAGGAAATGTCAATGCTGAATGAATTAGATTGACCTTCGTCATTAGATTGACTCTCGTCATTTAGGTATCAGGAGGGCAGCTTTGTTGGCCACTCTTTCAGGGGCACCATATTAGGTAGGCCAGCGTTGCTTCCACAGTAAGGACATAGTACAAAAAATGAAAGAACATCCATGCCTCGTCAAGGATTTAAAAACCCGAGACCTTTCTCCTCTGATGGGAGGTCAGTTCCCTGATCACTACACAGTCCAGTTGGCTGCACAATAGATATTAAGATATATATATATATATANAAGGTTGTTATCGTAGGGCAGACATAAAAAGACATATATATATATATATATATATAACTCAATATCAATTTTCCCCTTGCAAAAAATATTCTTTATATGTTACATGCAATTAATTTTGCATTCTCTCTCATATTTTCTTTGCATATAAAGGTTTTGTTTTTATAGAAACAATATTTTAAATTGTGGTCAGAAACAATGTATGAATGAGGAAAGTTTAGATAATTTATTCAAGAGTATTTCGAAGAATATATCAGAAGACAATCTGTGTCAGATTCAAAGATGTCAGCATTGTTATTATAAGGATCCAACTCTGCAATGAACTCTTCATCTGTTGAGTTCCAGAAAAATCCTTCTTCACTCCCATCCAAATAATTCGAAATTCCACAATTTTTAAAAGAATTTAAAAAAACATTTGAATAATCACCACCAGAGAAAAAATTTTGTAGATTTTTGTTTCTATAATTTTGTTAACTTAATAATTTTTTTATGTTTCTAATTTCAGAAATTTTTTTATATTTCTTTCTTCAGCGGTTGGTTTATGTATATAACATACCAGAAATTTTCTGTTTAGAAATCAAAAATAGAGGATCGACTTAAACACCGGGATATTGAGTAAATAGGATTTTTATCTACAAACAAAAGAAATTTTTAAACTAATATCTTTACATATAACGTTTTCAACTATTGCTTATATTAACTACTCTTTAGAACGGTAGTGATTTATTCAGAAATTAATATATTTTAACTTAAACTTTAATTTTTTTTCGATATTTTTTAGTATTTACTAGAATTTATCACATAGCTAAAGTAATATTTTTATTAGTTTCTTGAAAAATAAAAACAGATAAGATTAATTTATGGCTGTTTCTTAGTGTTGTGTTTAAATTCTTTGAGGTTTTATGAAATGTACTTACAAAAATGTTAGTTCTAATCAATGTACTTAAAAATTTCTATTATCATAGGCGTTATAGAATTTATTTAGTTTTTGCTTTTTATTTTGCTGTTGTAAAAGAAATTTTATTATGAGTTACTATTTGATAGTGTATTGTTGTTTTATAAAATTTATTTAATTTTTGCTTTTATAAAAGAAATTTCATTGCGAGGTACAATTTTATAGTGAATTGTTGTATGTACGCTTGATAGTGTAATAAGTTTTAGAAGTTTTAAGTATTAAAATGCATGATAAATTTGCTTTTGATCTTTTAATTTTTTATGCCCATCAAACTTTTTTCTTAGCTTTTAAAATTAGGAGATTACATTTTAAACATAAGTGTGCAAGAGAAATACATTTCATACTCAATACTTTTTATTTATTTTTATTGTAATTTCAAGTAGTATTTTTTTCACTTTTACAAGTAGTGTTTTATTTTATTGATTAAAAAAATTATTGTATATTTCAAGAGCATAGTTTCATTTTGATATAGTGTTTAAATAAATTAAATGTCAAATGGGATTTGTTAGTACTTTTATTTTTCAATCCTAATTTCATATTCTATTCTTAAATTTTCTCTGCATAATATTTCATTAATTTACATAAAATTGGTTTTTAGACAGATTTTCACTGTAATTTTTATGATTGATTTTTACAACAAAACATTTTTGGCAGCCCATTATTGTTGAATTATTTCTATTTCAATACTTTTATATTACATGATTAGTATTTGTTTGAAGCCTACCTAGCATTTTGTCTTTCTACACATATTAAATACTTTCTTCTGTGAAAGATATAAAAAGCCCTTATCTTCCCATATTTTTAAACTTTGTTTTAAAAATTTAATATCTTTACAGGGTGTGTGAGAGAAACACAAACAAAGTTTTTGTGTCATATAATAGAAGTTAACTAATTTCTTTTTCATTTGTTCATTCATTTTTTTCGTCTACTGCTTTAACTATAAAATATTTTATATTATATATCTCTTAGTTACAATTAGTTTGCAGTTGTTTTTTTTTGCATTGTCAAAATCAAAATTCTGCTATTTTAGAGTCGTTTAAGCTAGGAGAAAAACTGTGTGAAATCGTTTATTTTCTCTATACACAAAAGTTTGAACTCTTTAAAGTGATTGCTTCGACAGGAATGGGTGAAACTTTTGCTGAAATTTTCAATAAGTGTTTGTTCCTCTACATCGTTTTTAAAGATGGCCAGTTCGAAAACAATTAAATTTATTTACTAGTAAAAGTTTATTATTTATTATATTTTGCTAATTTATTTATTTTTACTGAAGCTATGTTAAGCGTTGTTTGCTCTGTTTTTTCTGCCGCACTTTGTAGTATAGATATTTTTATCTTCATTTTTTAACCTTTGTTAGAAGAAAGTCTATGGTTATTCTACTTTTTAAAAATATTTCATGGCACATTTTTCTGTTAATACATAATTTTATCTGAGTTTTTGTGTTCTCATGATTTTTACATGCCCAAACATCTTTTCCCACTGCACATATTATTAAATGTAACTATAACTAATCTGATTAACTAATCTTATTAAATGTAACTATATCTAATCTTGCTCACTTTAAATTATTATTGGCCTGATATTGTCAAATTTCATTAAAGATTTGAAGTGGATTATGTTAGAGTTATAAAACCTCTATTGCCCTCTGTGTTATTTTCGCATTTGCTATTTTAACTTTTATATTTATTACTCTTTAAATGCACAGCAATTTCAGTGATTTTTTTTAAATAAAAATAAATACGTCCAGAATAAAAAATAAGCTAACTTTATTTTCTAAATTTTTATTTATAAAATTTAACCACATTGCATTGAAGTTGTATCAAATAAAAAGGGTTTCTTTTTCCCCCCTTTGTTGCTGTTTCTCCATCCTATTCAGTTTTCTTGGCAATTTTTGTCAAAATTTGATAAGATGCTTAATTGTATTTTATTTTGTTGTATTTCGGATTAAATATTTGTGTCTCTTATCAAAATTATAAAAATTTTTACTCTGGTGATAGTCGAAAGAAATATTCAGATTTTAAAATTTCTATTGTTTCATGTTTTTGCATTCTTTATTAGTAAAGGTCTCACATTACAGTAAAAAGTTTCAAGGTCTATATTTGTAATTTCACCACATATTTTTGTTTGGAGTTTTACAGTTATATAAAATATTTAATTAATTATGAAATTTATTTATCTAGTCTGGAAACAAAGTTACAAATTCAATCAGTTTTGTGCATTTAAGTTTTGTTTCAATTTTTATTAAAAAAAATTTCATTTCATTTCAGGCAGCATAAGTTTAACTTCATGGTTGTTTGTAACTTCTACAGCTGCGAAAGCTATGGCTAAATCATTAAAGCTTTGATCTCATTTTCCACTAAAATATTGCTTTCCTTATTTTCATTTGATTTGGCAATTTGGAGATAAGAGCAAATACAAATTTTGTTCTGTTTGGTACATCAAAATAAACTTCCTGATTATCATATTATTTATCCTTGTAATATACAATCATTGTACAAGCTCCACTTTAGGTGCAAAATTATATGTGTTTTAATTTTTTGACATTAAATTATTTATTCTAGTGTTTGATATTTAATCAAACTGTAGATTAAACTGTCAATTAATTAATATTTATTCAAATAATTTCTTATTCCTTAATTTATATTAACTCTTTCATGTCATTGTATAAATAATAGTAATAATTTTTATTCAATGTTTGAGTGGTTATCTGATTAAACTGTTGATAAATTATCATCTATGTGAAATCATTTCTTAATCATTAATTTAATTCATATGAATTTTTCATGTCATAGAATTAAGATGTTTAACATTTTATGTTTGAGCAGTTGTTTGATTAATTTATCAATGCATCAACATTTAGTAAGATGTTGTTTATTTTTCTTTAAAATTTATATTAACTTTTCATATTATGAAATAAAATTATTATATTTATTTTTTCATTTCATGTCTAAATAAGTATATTTACTATTAATAAATTAATTTTATTCCAATGACATTTATTTCATTTATGTATACAGACTTTTGATATCATTAAAAAAGATTGTATTTATTTATTTTTAATTTTATATTTGAATAAAAGTTGTTTGTGTTGATGAAATATCTTTTGAATAAGTTTTTATTTTCAGCATTTTTCTCTCAATTGTTCATATCATTTCTTCATTAATTAAAACCCTAATTTTTTCTATGTGGATCTACAACATAGATAATTATAATTATAACCATTATTATTATAAGCCATATTCATATATCATGTGTCATGGGACACTTTTTTTTTCTACACAAGGCAATTTATAGGAAGTAAAATTTTTCATATTCACTTGATACACTCATATGACTTAAATCAAGGGGAAGTTTATTAAATGTGTATGGGTTTTGTTTTAAGAAAAAGCTGTACCATAGACCATGTGCAATTACACTAGAAAACAAAATTTTTATTGCATTTATACAAATTTGTCTAATTCCAATGTGGAGATTTCAAATCTGTAATTCTTTATCTTGCCTGATTCCAATGTGGCAATTCTGTGATTAGTTTTGCTCCTAAAGCTGCAGTTTTTTTAAATGAAATTTTTAGTATATTTTTTGTTGAAATATACCAGTTTAAAATTGTTACATAAGGAGGGGGGGTCGCATGAAGGTTTCGACAGACACACATGCCCCAATTCCTCTAGCAACATTTATTGTATTAGTTTTGAACTGAATTTAATGAATTTTTTTCTGTTTTAGTTGTTTCAATACTTTAACAAAGATTTTATTCCATCTTCTTTTTTATATATAATTTCATAGGTGTCTTTGGATAAGCTTAGATCACTATAGTGTTAAAATAATTTGTCTGGAGTGATGTAAACTTTGGTTTGGGCAAACTTTATTTTTTAAATAATAGTCTCCACCTGGTTGCATTTGAGTTGCAGACAAATTTTTATTTATAAAGATGGTTCTACAGATGGACGTAGTAAATTCTGCTATTGGGAATACAGGGTTAGCCTAAATTTTTTATCCAGTTTCATATTACTGTTTTTGTTGAGACATAAATAACATACGAAGATTATCAGAAGATACATACTAATCAAGTATCTGCAAATGCCAAGATGCATGCATTCTTGGCCATCTAGAACACATTCCAATCTCAGGGATGTTAACTTTGCTTTGTAACAAAATTTCTTTTAGTGGTAGGAACTTAGTTTACGTTTTAATGTATGATTCTTCATTTAATTAATTTGTTTGGAAGTTATTTTCCACTCTGTAATTACAGTCATTTTAATTAAAAAAAATATTAAACTTTATTTTTTCCAATTTTTTAGTGATGAGGCTTTTAAAATGTTCGAAAACTTAACCAAGATTCTGCAAGCTTTAAATGTCTATCACTCATAAAAATATTTTGCAAAAAGCGAAGTAGTTGGCATCCTTGCAATTCATGATAATCAAGTTCTGTCCATTCATTCAATATCATGTTTCTACCAATATCTGTCTCAGCAATAGTGAGGCCTTCCTGCAATGTTGGGGTGCTCACACTTTGTTCTTCAACATTACCAGCAACGCTGCAAGTGTTGTGACAGACTGATAGAAGCATGTTATTGAATGCATTTTCAGAACTGTATTACTATTGTGAAGTGTACTGAAGGACCAAAGGTGCATATATCGTACATTATGTACTAGAAACTTAGTAAGTGTGTGTAATTTTCCATGTATCTCACTTCCGTGCAAATTCTATACTTATAAAGTCTTCTGAAACTGAATAAATCATCTAGGCCAGGGATGGCGAACCAATGGCACGCGACACAATATTTTGAGCACGCCACCCATCACAAAGTTCACTATGAAGCATATTAACAATTAAATTCAAATTCACAATAAACAAAAAAAAAAAACAATTTTTAACCAAATAACTAACAATTAATGCCAAAAAACAATTAATAAGCATCAAAACAAGCTAACAATAAATAACTAGCAAAAAATTAACAGTAATGCTTGAACTAACATCTAACAACCTAATATAAGTTATTTGTCATCTAATCTGCAGCAACAGAAGTCACTCTGATGTTACTTTAAGTTGAATTGCGCGTATAACTGAGACATTACAAAATTTATTTTTCTTCAATGTAAATAAAGAGTTTTGAGTTGATAGTATTTAGTATTATTATTTTCCCAATAATCACGAAGTCAAAATTATTTGACGGCATGTCTATGACCTCATTAAAAATTTTTTTAGAAAAAATGGCACGTTGGTATATAAAGGTTCGCCACCCCTGATCTAGGCTAATCCTCTTCGTTAAATTGCATACGAAAATTTGTATTTAATATTTGACCTTAAATACTATATGCAATGCTCTATTTAAAACAAGAATAATAGTTTTAATAACAAAACATATGAGCATTTTTTTTGACATAATGAATATGTTTATGGTAAAAACCGTCAAATCTTTCCAACTCTGCCTAGGATATTTTTTTTTCTTTCCTGGTCCTAGAAATTTAAAGGACCCTAGAACCATAGATCAAGTAGATACTGTGAATAAGTTGAATGAGAACTATATAAAGTTGCTTAATTAGTCATAATAAGCTTCTTTGCGCTTCATAGCTTGTGTATTGTAATTCCTAAGCCTTTTTCTTTAATAGCAATGTTTATGCTATACCTAACTCTATATTTTGCTTAAGTCCATTTGAAATTTGTGCAATATTATTTAAAAAGTCTGTTACATTGAAATAAATGTTTAAAAATGGTTTCATACATCGTTCTTCAAACAGGGGTTCATACGCATCATGAAGTATCTGAAAAACTCAGAGAACTTGAGAGTAGCTTAAAAAATAAGAGAATACTTAAGAAAAAAGAAACTTTTTGCTGAAAACCAATAGAAAAATTAAAATTATAGAATTTCTCTCACTCTTTAAAAATACTTGTTTTAAAATATCTATTTTACGAAATCTAGTTTTTTACTCAAATGTGACATAAAATATAATTTTTTAAAATTTTTCAACAAAATTGTTAATTTTCCCTCACAATATAGAAAATTTATTTACTGAATGGATAATTTTTTAAGATGCATTAATTAGTTTTTTTTAAACTAAAGTTAGCTTTTAATTTTTCTTAGGTTTGTAAGGGGTTAATGATAAATCTTTTGTTTGAAATTCTTTAAAATGTTGGGAATTACTGACACCCTAAAGTTTGATTTATAGGTTGATTAATATATTAGCATGGCGTGTCAATATATTATGTAATGCAATGCTCTAAAATGTAGGCAGGATAATGATTTTGTTCGATATTCATGCATATGGCTTAGTTTTTCCTGCTATTAAGATTTTATTGTAGTAATTTGATACCAATATTTTTCATATATTTTTTAACCATTCTGTAGCTGTGGGTATTGATTTTTTTTAATTATTTCTCTGATTAATCAAAAGAAACTCAGGGAATTTTTTTCCACAAATTAACAAGCAATTTAGGAAATTACAAAATACTTAGTTCAAAATAAAAAGAAATTTTTATTTCCTAAACAACTTACTACCCAATAATCATAGTTTTTCAAAGTAAGATGCGATCTTCAACGAATTTGTTAAAGGTTTCTTCTACGTATTGTTAAAATGCACACTTTTTTATAAGATAATTTGTTACTTATTTATGAACAGTAATTAATTTTGGAATAATTTGTAACCAATTTAGTACTTTACTTACGTTTTAATATTTTAATTGAGAAAATGACATTTTTTTACCCTTTTTATTCCATAATTGATTAAAGAAATTTAAATTTCTCCTTTTAAGTTAAAAAATTATAATAAAATGTATCAGAAAACTTTACTGGATATCAGAATATTCGGCTGAAATAGTTTGTAAGCTGTGAAAAATTTAGAAGCTATGTTTAACATATTTCTTATAGAAAAGATGATCCTAGAAATTTTTGAATTACCTACAATAATTTCATTCACATAAAAAAAATGAGAAGAAATAACTAGCTGTTCAGTTAGTTCGAGAACGTTCTCGATAAACATTTTATTGATAGATTATTCTTCGATAAAATGTTTTTTTTATGTATAAAGATTATGTATACCAAATTAATTATTTGTATTATCTTCAAGTTTCCTATTTTCGCTAGATTATGAGAATTAAATTCTAAGCTATGAAATTTTTCCAAGTCCTTTTTTTTCTGAATAACATTTTATAAAGTGATATCTATTACTAAAAATGTTTAGGTTTAAGTAATTTAGGTAATTTCTATTTAAATATTTGTCTTAACTCATTTTTTTTAACAATCTAAAACCCTTCTATAAACAAAGAAAAACTTTCTGAAAAACTAATTACTTTCTATAATATAATATAAATGTGAAAATATTATATAAATGTGTGATATATTAATATAAATGTGAAACTTGAACTATGAAGGAATGTAGAAATGTTTTGCTTTACCCATTCAATTTAAGCATTTAACAAAAAATAAGACAACTTAGTTTTGATTGGATGGGAAATGTTATACATTGCTTCAAAACACCAAAAAAATTATCTAGTTTTAATACTTTATTTTTGAAAATAGATAGTTACACCGAAATGTTTTAAGTTTGCTGTTCTTATAAAATTACTAACACTTGATATTTGTTTATAAAATAATAGAACCTCGACAAAAACATATTAAATTTGTAGAAAAGGACAATATTTTTATGAAACTGAAATAATTTTGAATACTTGCATCAAATAAAATAAGTTTCAACAAGGACTCATAAAGTGCTGAGTTGATCTATTTGTATACTATGACACTGAAAAAAGAAAACTGCACACATCGATATAACAGTGGAAGTTTCCTGTTATTTAACTTCTTCACTACTGAAGTATAAAGGAATATAGTAAAAGATATTTTACTGTTTTGAATCTCTAGTTTACTGCTATAACTCATAATAAAATAAACAAAATACGAATTATATTGCCAGGGGGCTAATAATTTTAGGTCCACACACCTGGACCTCAAGTTTGAACTAATTAAAATAATATAAATATTTCAAATGTGTGTTAAATTGCACCTGAAGCAGGAACAAACATGCATAATGTCATATTTTGGTCTATTTAAATACAATGATGAATGGATTTAATAATTATTTGATGAATGGATTTAATGGATATT